TGACACCATCAGTCACTGTTGCCATATGTACATACAGAGACTCATCGACTTACGAAAATCTGACTGACAAACATTCAGCGATATGAACAAACCTGTCCGTATGTCCAGTTGCCTGTTCGAACCGAGAGTCATAAGTTCAACTGCTGCACAATTGATGGAGGCATCTACATCTGCAGAACATGAAGAACCAGTGGCATCTACGGGAGATTATACAACTTTTAAAGCCATTCCCTCTGTTTAATGTTGATGCCGTACAACATGTTTGAAATCAACAGGAGTAAAGTTGGACTTACGAACAGACCTGGAACATAGCTCGTTCGTAAGTAGAGGAGTCTCTATACTGTCCTTTGTCAATCCATTACTGGATGAGCGCCTGCCTGTGCCGTGCTGGTGACAGGGATAATTTTACCACACATCACCATGCTAGTGAGTGCAGTGTTGCTGACACCTTAGGAGCATAGCCGCGAAAGCATAGTAGCACAATAAAGCAATTTACTTCTCTGTGATGCCCTCTGCTGCCTGCCACATAGTCCCGCACCCTAGAACAAGCCATGCAAAGTGGTCAACCCACCCAAGCACTATCCAAGCTCAAGCTTATTTTCAAACAGAGGTTTCACAAGATTGGCTGCAATCCGAGTAGTTTGGTCATAGGCTGTCATTATGTATTTGATGAAAAGCTTTGCGTGAGGTGCCGTTCTGCACAATGCTGTGCTATTCTCAGTCACAATCAATCAGAAAGAATCAGAATCAGAAAGGGTTTTATTCGCCATGTAAGTTCACACCGACACGGAATTTACTTTGGCAGGATGGTGCATACATTCAACATATAGGAATCTAAAATCTTAAATAAGTTTTAAACAAGTCTTACTATAATAAGGGTTAAAAGTCTAACATTAAGGGGCTGAAGTATATAAAATTAAATAAATATCGAATATAAAATAGCTTTAAGATATAATTTAAAAATACAAATACAAATAGGGAAACATAGTTAATATCAGCAACGTGTCGTTATGTAGATCAAATGTTAAAAACAGTGTTAGCCCTTGGCCTTGTTTAACAGGCCAGCAGCAGATGGGAAGAAACTGTTTTTATGGCGTGAGGTTTTGGTCCTGATGGACCGAAGCCTTCTGCCGGAGGGGAGTAGCTGAAATAGAGAGTGTCCAGGGTGGGAGAAATCGGCCATAATCTTCCTCGCTCGCCTCATAGACCTTGTCGTGTGCAGGTCCTCGAGGGTCGGTAGATTGCAGGCAATTACCTTCTCAGCAGTGTGGATGATACGCTGCAGTCTGCTCTTGTCCTTGGCAGTGGCAGCAGCGTACCAGACGGTTATGGAGGAGGTGAGGATGGATTCAATGATCGCTGTATAGAATTGCACCATCATTGTCTTTGGCAGGTTGAATTTCTTCAGCTGCCGTAGAAAGTACATCCTCTGTTGAGCTTTCTTGGTGAGGGAGCTGATGTTCAATTCCCACTTGAGGTCCCGGGAGAGAATAGTGCCCAGGAAGCGGAAGGACTCTACAATTTTGACTGGGGAGTCTAACAGGGTGATGGGGGTGAGTGGTGCTGTATTCTTCCTGAAGTCCACAACCATCTCAACTGTCTTTAGAGCATTTAGCTCTAAGTTGTTCTGGCTACACCAGGTCACCAGATTGTCAGCTTCCCACCTATAGTCAGACTCATCCCCACCAGAGATCAGCCCAATGAGGGTGGTGTCATCCGCAAACTTCAATAGTTTGACGGACAGATGATTGGAGGTGCAGCTGTTGGTATACAGGGAGAAGAGCAGAGGGGAAAGGACGCAGCCCTGAGGAGTTCCGGTGCTGATGGACCTGGAGCCAGAGACTTGTGTTCCCAGCTTAACGCACTGCTTCCTGTCAGACAGGAAGTCTGTGATCCATTTACAGGTGGTGTATGGCACGTTCAGCTGGAAGAGCTTGTCCTGAAGCAGGGCAGGGATGATGGTGTTGAAGGCAGAGCTGAAGTCCACAAACAGGATCCTGGCGTAGGATGCTGGGGCGTCCAGATGCTGTAGGGTGAAGTGGAGGGCCATGTTAACTGCATCGTCCACAGACCTGTTGGCTCTGTAGGCAAACTGAAGGGGGTCCAGGAGAGGGTCTGTGATGGCTTTGAGGTGTGCCAGGACCAGGCGCTCAAAAGACTTCATTACCACAGATGTAAGGGCGACCGGTCTGTAATCATTTAGTCCTGTTGGCCTTAGCTTTTTGGGCACAGGGATGATGGTGGAGGACTTGAGACAGGCTGGTACATGGCATGTCTCCAGGGAGGTGTTAAAGATGTTGGTGAACACCGGAGACAGCTGGTCAGCGCAGTGCCTGAGGGTGGCTGGAGAGACAGAGTCCGGCCCGGCTGCTTTGCGTGGATTCTGCCTCTTGAAAAGTCTATTAACTTCTCCCTCCTGAAAGGAGATAGTCATCTCTGTAGTATTGGTGGGGGATGGGGCCTCTTGGGTTGGAAGGGGTGGTTCAGGACAGTCCAATTGTCTTTCAAATCTACAGTAGAACTCGTTCAGGTCGTTGGCTAGGCGGGAGTCGTTAGTGGTGTGGGGGGCTCTGGGTTTGTAGTTGGTGATCTGCCTGAGCCCTCTCCAGACAGAAGCAGCGTCGTTTGTAGAGAACTGGTGTTTTAGTCTCTCTGAGTACAGTCGTTTAGCCTCTCTCACCGCTTTGCTAAACCTGTTCTTCGACTCCTTGAATCTGTCTCTATCTCCACTCCTAAACGCTTCCTCCTTCTCCAACCTCAACCTTCTGAGCTTTGCTGAGAACCAGGGCTTATTGTTGTTAAAGTTCACCCTGGTACGTGTTGGGATACAGCAGTCCTCACAGAAGCTGATGTAGGACGTCACAGCCTCTGTGAGTTCATCCAGACTATTGGTAGCAGTCGTGAACATATCCCAGTCAGTACAGTCTAAGCACGCCCGCAAATCTTCCACAGCCTCACTGGTCCACTGTTTAGATGTCCTCACAGCAGGTTTACAGAGTTTTAGTTTCTGCCTGTATGCAGGAATCAGGTGGACCATGGCATGGTCAGAGTGTCCTAGTGCTGCTCGGGGGACGGCGTGGTAGGCTCTACTGACTGTAGTGTAGCAGTGATCCAGAGTGTTCCCTTCTCTGGTTGGGCATTTAATGAATTGTATGTATTTGGGGAGTTCGTGGCTGAGATTACCTTTGTTAAAGTCGCCAAGTACGATAACCAACGAATCTGGATTTGCTCGCTCCACACTCAGAATCTGATCGGCGAGCATGCGTTGGGCCTCTTTAACCTGAGGACAAGGCGGCAAATAAACTCCGACCAAAATGAGCGACGCGAACTCGCGAGGCGAGTAAAACGGTTTACAGGTTATAAAAATTGATTCAAGGAGTGGAGAACAATGTTGCAGAATCACTGTGACATCTACACACCAGCCACTGTTAATGTAAAAACAAATACCACCGCCTTTCGTCTTGCCGGAGAGTGCTATGTCACGATCCGATCTTACAAGATGGAATCCTGCTAGTTGTAGCGAAGTGTCCGGAATCAAATCAAATCAAAAGAACTCTTTGGTGACCGCACGGGAAAACGCTGGCCATTGTCACGTCATTTTCCGCAGCCATCACGGTTCCTACTTTGAGAATATAATCATGGGATTAGCGTCAAAGCACCAACCTTGTACAGCTGACTACCTGTGCTGCCTCGAGGCAAAAGCACAACATTAAATTATCTTGTATGAATGCAAAGCTTGCATTTAGTCTAATTGATGTTTTACAGCACATGGAATATGCATATATTTTCCAAATTCACGAGTCATTCATATGTGGTTGCACATTGTTGATAAAAGACTGTCTCAGCACCGATTGGTGCTTGTTTTTTTTTACCCCCCAAGTCATCTATTTGAGTACTGGCAAACATCATTGTTGCTGCAGGACACCTGTGGTAAACATAACCATTTGACACGCTGGTTTGTGTTGATCTGCACCACGTCCCTGACACCGCGCCTTGTCCCCACGCAGCAACTGGGGCACAGAGAGCGATGACGCCCAGGCCTACCACAACGGCAACACGGAGCCCCGCGGATTCGGTGAGCTCGCAGTGCCACTGCCGCACTCTCCGCTTGCTGCCCGCTCCGACACGATGCCCGGTGCTGCATGATTTTGGCGGGTACTGGCCAGGTGCGACACGTGCTCCCCTCCTCCCTCGCAGGGCACATCGGCATCTCCGTGCCGGACGTGTACGCGGCTTGCAAGCGCTTCGAAGAGCTGGGCGTTAAGTTCGTGAAGAAGCCCGACGATGGTGAGTGCTAATGTTTGCTGGTGGTGTTCACGGGTAATTACTATCATACTTATCCAGGGAAGTCTCGGTACTCTTTTTTTTCAGGAAGGTTTTTTTTGCCATGGTTGGGGGTGGGCAATAATTTCTGTTTCCTGATATAAGTAATTTTCAAGGAATCTTGAGTTATTGTTGAGTAACATGTTCTGAATTGTCTGTGGCCAATGTGAACCTGTGGGTGAGCAGGGAAGATGAAGGGTCTGGCTTTCATACAGGACCCCGACGGCTACTGGATTGAAGTGCTCAGTCCAAACGGCATGGTTACCATCACCTAAAATCACCCTGGGCCAGCAAGCAAATTGTATGACGCTACACTCTACAGACCCAGGCTGGCACTTTAAAAGTTCAAACACAATTCTTAACGCTAGCCCATCCATGCCGTCGTGTGGTCACATGGCACTGCAGGCTGCTCTGCTCAATTATCTCCACCAAGCTTTTCCATATATAACCACGGTTCAAATGGGCCGTATACGGCGGCATGCCATACACATAACACCATTAGTGTATACCGGAACTTTCAGAACGTTTGGTAATCGAGGGGAAATTGCAGTATCATGGGCCGCAAGATGAAGAGGTTTCATGCCGGGACATCTACTATGCCATTTCAATGATTGGATGTAACAAGAAGTCCTTTCTATACACTAAGTGTTGACTTAATTCAGAAATGCGCGTATTCCCATAAATAATATTTTATTAGCAACATGACACAGTGTGTACTCGTTTATGCATGGTTGTGATGTCCGTCATTTAGTGACTATACAAATATATACAGCTTATCCTGTGTGTGCGATACTAAGTTATGGAAAGCACCAGAGGGCCCCGCAAATAAAACTGCGACACACGGTGGCCAAGGGGACTAGGGTGGGGTAAACTGTAACCTGAAGCGGGCGGCAGCATTACACCCACACTTCGCCTGTGAAGAGTGTGCAACGTGTACAATAGTTCAGGCACTGGTATTGAGTTGCATTGTGCAAGACAGTGATGTCAACCACATGTGGACCATGAGCCCAAGAACGCAGCCTATGCGAGTCCACCAAAGCTTAATTTATCACCGAATGTTCTGGTAGGCTGGACTAGGCACGCAGCCGCAGCCATATAATTCCCTGCCATCTCTTTTCCCAAGCACTTATAACCTTGCTGAATTAAAGAAACGTTAACTTGATTTGTTATTATTGTGATAGGAGTGATTGTTGCTGGCTGCTTGACGTATCAGGCCTCGAGCCAAGTGCCTCAGCAACTGTGTTCAACTAAGCCCTGTCCATTATGGAAACTTTGCCGTGGTTGGTTGCTGTTTAACAAACTCAACATCACGACGCAAGTTTCAAACACATTCGCAAAACACCAAATCTTATCTTGGAGACACCAGCCATTACTCAGGACTCCACAGTCTACGTCAGTCATTCCCAAGTCGCCAAACGCACCATGAACCCTGGCTGATCCACGTGGGCAGCATTGGTCCCATGTTGAGTCGTTCGTTGACGCTCACGCACTTGGGATGCTGCCGGCCAGGGCGCCATCATGCCCGCTCACCCGGTGGCTCCGTGCTGCTGAAGGCACCCATCTGGCGGGTGCTGGGGTCGCGCAGCTGTTCCAGCTGGCGCTGTGCTCGCCGCATCATCATCTCAATGCGCATGACGTCCGAGCGAGGGAAGGCGGCGTTGCGGCGGAACTCGGCGCGGATGTGTGGGGTGAAGCCTGGCTTGTCACAGGCCGCACGTAACAGTTGCTTGTACAGGCCCAGCACCTGCTTCTGCAGGCGGCTGTGTCGCGACATGGTGTGTGGCCTGTATGGGAGACGGGAGCAGCGGTGTCGGCACAATCATGAGTACCATTGCCACGAGGACCGTAACTCGGCGCCAGCAAGAGAGATCAGCATAACCACCAATAGCAATATCTTCACCAATCGCCTACACAATCACCAGCATATTCACCATCGAAATCATCTCCAGCAGCATCAACAGTACCATCACCTTAGGAGAAATGATCTTAACTTGAATCAATAGCACATTCCCCATGAACATCTCCATCACTTCCAGCATCACCAACGTACCCAACACCAGTACCATCAATATCTTGCCAATTCAATTGATGGCCTCGTGTGGGAGGGAAAACAAACGGAGAACATCCACAGGCATGCAGATACAACACAAGCTCTACACTGATGGATTCAAGAGCCAACAGGCCATCCCGCACCTCATCGTAAGTAGCATCACCTTCGGCACCACCGTGCTCTCAATCGACAATTACCACGAACGCAATCGTTATCGTCACCAGCGCTCGGTCTCCACGCTGGGCCCTGCAGTTGGCGAGGTAAATGAGTTTCGTGTCAGTAACGTGTCCAGGTACTCCACTCGGTACTCACTCGGGGCTCCCACCTCGTACCAGGGACACGAGGTCTCGCTAGATGCCATCTCGGGACTCAACCAGGTATTTACAAACACTACCAGACTTAAATTTCGATTTAAAGCTTTCGTGACTGCAAGGATTCATCTTCTTTGGTTCTTTCGGTAAAGTCACGTAGAATGAGAATAAAATAATAAATTGATAAAATAACAATATTCTCACGACGTTTCGGCCACAACACAAGCGGCCTTCACCTGATGAAAACCTGATGAAGGCCGCTTGTGTTGTGGCCGAAACGTGTGAATATTAGTGTTATTTTATTTTATCAATGTATTATTTTATTCACATTCTACGTGACTTTACCGAAAGAACCAAAGAAGATTACCAGACTTACCAGGCACCTCCCAAGAACTCGGCACGCTCACAAAGCCCTGGAGGTAGTATCCACCAGGTGATTTTACCAGGTCCTCGGGCCAAGGGGGCTCATCAGAAACATCACGGACACTCGACACCCCACCAAGTACTCACGAGGTTTGTGAAACGACTACCGTTTCCCCAATCCGATTTACCGGCTCCAAAAATCGGCGACCGATGATCGATGTCCAGTGGAACTTTCGTCACGAATAGTGCCGCTGGAGCAAGCGGGGCCAATTGTTGAAACTCCCGCGACGAGAGATCGAATGGAGCCGGTGACCTCTGAGCGGCGAGCCCGGTGCGGCTGTTGACGATGCCGCGGGACTCGTTCGGCGAGGTTGAACGTCTCACGCTCGTCGCGAGACGATTCTCCACGGCGTGGCCAACAGCTAACCGGTTTTGGGTTTACACGCGGTTACCGGTAAACGCAACGATATTAATAATTACATTTACACGGCGCTTTTCATCAAGGCTCTCAAAGCGCTGTACAGGACGCAGCTATCAGCAGGAGCCACTCGGATTTTTTTTAATCACGTTATAAAAATACATTTTAAAAGTTCTTTACTAAAATAACTATACACGTAATAAGGGGAGGCGTTTAAATCGTTTTTTTTTAAACAAGTTGAAAACCCACCCGGTGGGGGAGGACAGGCGCGAGGGGGTGACGGCAACGGCGGTCGCGGCTCTCAGGAAGGTGACCCGGGGCCCCGGGGTGCAGTCGGGGCCTCGAGTCGGGGCTCCTCGCAGCAGCAGCAGCAGCAGGAGGGAGGAGGAGGGAGAAGGATGAGGAGGGAGATGAAGAGGATGAGGGAGAAGGATGAGGAGGAGGCGACGATGCCCGCAGACTGGGCGCCTGCCGCTGCGAGGGCGACGCCTGCGAGGGGGAAGTCGCGAGGCGCCGCTGTCGAGGAGCCACCGCGCGACGCTCGCTGCGGTCGCCTGCTGATGACGGAGGCGGCTGCCCCCACCCACCCCTGCGGTAACTCCACCCCCCCCCGGTTACTCCCCCCCCCCGCTACTCCCCCCCCCCCCCCCGCTACTCCCCCCCCCGCTACCCCGCGTCCCGCACACGGCCACAGCGTCGCTCGTGCCCACGGCAGCCCCCAACAACCGCACGGGTCACCACTTCTGACGTGCACCGACATACAATCGTGTCACCATTGTTGTATTCGTACAATAAACGTAGTTGTGTGACAGTACTCCGACTGCAGCGAAGTGTTTGCCGTCCCCGCAGTAACCCGCAACTCGGGGCTGCTGCTCCTGCTGCTGCTCCTGCAAGTTAAAAATTAATTACCGTGATGAGTGTGGCTGGAACAAGGCGTGCAAGAGAACACCGCAGCAGACTGCGCAGGCTGTGGAGATTTATATTTGTCCCGGAGGAGAGTACATTCGCAAGCATTCAGTAAGATTTAATACCTCGGGTGGCATTTATAATGGACTCGTCGATTGAATAATTATGAACGCGAGAGGAAATTGTGCACATTGCAATTAAAAGTCGCCCTCGTTCCGCGTGACGATGGAATCGATCCCATCGATTCGCGTCAATGGCGGATCGATTCGCGCTGGATCGACTCCGCACCCTCGGTGTGAGGGGAGACGCCGTCGCCCGCGTAGCCACCGCAAGTGACGAGGAGATCGGTGAGGAGACGGCCGCACGACCTGGTGAGGGGGAAGTCCGTGCGTGAGCGACAGCCCACCGGCTTGCGCTCTCCGAACCCGACCAGCCAAAGTTTCGATTCGCAACCGACGGCTGACCCCAGAGACGATTGTCAGAAGCGCTCCTTGCGGTTGGACTCGGCCTCTGTGGTGCCGCGGTGTTGCTAATCATCGCCACTGAGGGTCGGCCCACCGCATCTCCCCCTCCTCGTGTGCCCTGTCGACCTTTAAGGGGAGCTCGCTCTCAAGCAGACTTATGAGGCAACCGGGGAGGAGGGGGGTGATGGAGATCGTTTAGCGTCCGCGATGACGGGAGCCGGTTTCGCTTTCTTTTCAGGCGCCGCGATTTTGGCGGGAAAAGTTGCGGGGATTTTATTTAAAAAAAAAAGTTTGAGGGAGCGATTTTATTTTTTCGTCCGCGATTCTAAACGTGGCGTAAACTTTCACTACCCACCTCACCGATTCCCCGCGGGGTTTACCCACGTGGATCGCGTACACTACCGCGACGAAGCACGGAATTGATACCGAGGAGAGGCCAGCCGCATCACCCTGGCACGCCCGTGTGGCAGGAACTGTAACATATATACAGTACGTTCAAATTTACGCTGTTTAATACCACGTACAGTGCCCGGTGGTGACTTTAATAGCTGGTAAATCCTCGAGTAAGTGACATGATGGCTGTAAAAAGGTCTGCGTGGTGACTTGAAGCAGTTTTCAAACTGGGCAGTGAGGTGGAGTGTGTTGTATCTTGGTGGTTTATGCCTAAGTATTTGAATTTAAATCACGGTTGCTAAGTAAAGGCCCAAATCACCAAGGGATCAGCAACAAACAGCACTATTACATTTGTCAAAGAGTTAACACATTTGGCCTGCACTGGTGGATGATCTTAACATAATTGTTGATCCTAGTGCTGCTGTTGTTGTGGTGGCAGTGGTGATCGGAGTGCTCTCAGTGTTGTGTTTGGTGGACCTCGTACTGTTGAATGCGAAAGTCGTAATGCTCGTATACTGTTGCTGGTGTTTCTTGTAGTCGTCTTACCTGACGAGATAGGACAATTGTGGGGGGGGAGGGACAACTCTACCGTAACCCTAAACTCGGGGCCCCCCCAAAATGCCGTTAAAAGAAATAACATTTTGGTGAGTACCGTAAATAGTGTCGGTGTAAATAATATACCACTATCTCCTGGAAATTGTTTCAAAATGTGTCAATGCCACATTTAATATTTCAGTTTAGTGCGCCCCAAGTAAAACAGCACGTGAATCATAAATATTCCATTGGATACAATTTGGGCCTCGGCAAAGTTGTTCCCTTTTGCAATGGCAAGAAGCAATGGGAGGGGATGGCCGCCCTCCGCAAACGTACCAGGCCTACTGGTAGTGTTGGAGGTCAAAGTATTGTCAATGTTTTGGTGAAAATGCTGGTGATACCGTCATTGGTGTTCATTGTGGTGGTGGCGGTCTTTAATGCCTGTTGTTTGTCTTGGTGATGCTGGTGTATCTGTTTGCTTCCTGAACCAGCAGCAAGGACTGGCCCCTCAGCTCTTCCTTCACCATCTTGGCCTTCTCACTGTCTCCAGCCGACTAACGACAACACTTCTTCCCATCACAAGATCGCAGAGACTGATGGCCTCCATGTAGCACAAACCCAACATGAGACGCAACATGGACGACGAGGAGACCGCCGTCATGAGGGGCATGTGGATCCCCCTAGGGTTACCATACATTGGCAAGAACGGAGCTCCTCTCCCCAGCATGTGCGAGTTCATGTTTAGAAAAATGGTCAGCCAGAGCACCCAGACAGAGTTTGCAGATGAAGCCCAGGCCAACCCAAGAACATGGGCTAATGCATTCAGCCAGACAATGGACATTGCCTGGGCTAGCCCGATTGGCCCGCCTAAAGGAACGTTACGGAAAAGCCCTTTTGACCTGGCTAAAGACATTGCTCGGGCTAGCCTGTACTGCCGGGGCAGAGAAGAGATGGACACACCTCAAGATTACCACGTCGCCCTGAAAAAAGGCATTGCACAGGTTAGCCCCATCGGAATGGAAGGAAGCATTGCCCGGACTCATCCAGATGGCATGGATGATGAACAGGGGTACATAGAAAATGTTACCCTGGACAATCTATCTCAGGAAGAGGGGTTTGTGGCCGTCTTGAAGGAGTATGGAGGTAATGGTTAGCGATCTCATGATATCATTATTTTTGTTACATTTTTCTTTATATTCCAATTGAGCAACTGAGTTGAACAAATGTACTTTTGAGACTTTCCTAGCAAGCAGTGACACCACCTTGTGTCAGCGTAACCTCAGAAGAGTATGTACAAAAATACTTCTGAAATCACTTCCACAGCCCCCTTTATCCGCTGTGGTGGTACATATTGTGTATCCTCTTCAAAGTCTTTTCATCTAATAATGCAATATCTTCAGAGCTGAAATAAGCTTAACTGGGTAACATGTTTTATTTGTGCAGTCTTTGGTGAGAGGGCTGAGAATAGCAAGTCATTGCGGCTATCAGGCATATTGTAAAAAATACCTCTATGTTATATATAAGTGGCTGACTGTATCACAGTGGTGCTGGTTCAAGTGCTTTGATGACATGGCATTCAGCCCTAGAGGTACTCGGCCATATTTTTTTTATAAATCCATTTTCAGATATCTCTGAAGGAATGGAGCTGATTGACCAGCAGCAAAACTGCACGAGACAACGTCCCCCTGTCAAGAGAGGGTCCTTGTTAGAGGCAGAGCTGGAAACAGGGCTGGACAAAGAGCAGATGACACCTGCAGATGGCAGCAGTCACCAGGTGCTTGCATTGATCATTCGACCCCATTTTTCACTGCCACATTTGTAACAGACACTGTACGTTTCGTATTTTTGTACATCAAGCTGAGTGTCACACCACGGGTGTTGTCGTGAGGAGGCAGGAAACATCACCTTGAAGATGTGGACGATTGCTTCCGTTGGTGCCACAGCGGTGTTCGTGGAGGGTATCCGAACGTACGTGGTTTTCCTTTGTATGATTTTGCTTTAGGAAACTACTCGGTCCTCTTCCCTAAATGTGCCCAAATTTGTAAGATCTGGGAAACTATGGGGGGGTTACCCCGGTTAGCACTTGAATAGGTGATCACCAGGCCTTGCTTGGTGCTTTTTGTGTGGGGCTGCGCGGTGGTCAAGTAAATGGCAGCGTTGAGAGTTAGCCCTCTTTTTCCAGGTACTCTGGTTTACTTCCACCTGCAAAACACTCATTAATGAAATTGTCTAAATATCCCAAAGCATGCTCCCCTTGAAAAAGAGTCATGAGACTCTGTGAGGCTTTTCTGGATTTTTTTTATTACATTAAGCTGTTGTCATTGGTCTCAGGGACATCAACGTGATGTGGCACAGCAGTGTTATCGTGCAGCGCCTGTCTGCGCGCCAACTCAAGACTAAGTCTGGTGCCATCTACAGTCTCAAGGGTCCTCCAAACTTCCCTAACCGGGAGCCTTCTGGTGAGTGCGTGTACATAGTGTGTGTTTAAATGCCTCCCTGGTTTTGTCTGTTTTTGTGGACTTTTTATCAGCGAGGGAAGCTACCATGTCGTTATATACATGTCCTGGTATAAATACCTTTCCTTAAAGTCTCCAGGGATTAATTGCAGCCACAACAATTTAGAATTGCAGAGCGTTTAGAGGTGACCACATCTCAAAGACGACTTGGTCCAATGAAGCAGAAGTGGGAGGCATTCACTTGGAGCGGAGCTATTGTCTGCATGGACACCAGTTTGAATCATCTCTGTGGCTGATGATTCACTTTCCCACCTTACAGTATTTCCAAGTGCGGTTTACAGAAAGTTCGCGGATGGATTTCCAGACGACTGGGACAAGATCCTGACTCGACACTTAGCAATTCACAAGTACGTATGGGGCAGCAAGTGTTTTCACCCAACCATGAATCAAGCTCACTGCATTGATTATATTTTTTAACAATGTTTTATTGTAAAAGATATATAGTTGACTGATAGTTTTTGGCAATAGACCTTATTTAATTCAGAGAGAAAGTGCAAAGAGATTTGCCAACTTGTATTTGCAGATTACAATTTTTAGGGGGATTTCAAAGAAATTGGGAAACTTTAATAAGGTTGACAATTGAATAGTGTATATGGCCAAGATGTAGGCAACAGGTGCTTCCACCATTGACAGGCCAGCCACCTGCATCATGTCATCAGACATTTCCATTTGGAACTTGACAACGAGTAGCGCATCTCCCTGTTTAACAGAATGGCCTCCTTAGAGGGAATTTCAAAAGGCCTCTTTAACCTCACCTTTTCTATGCCCTGAAAAAAAGTGTTCATTGCATGTCAATCAAACTGAAATGTTTACATGCCAGAGCTCGATTTTAGCCAAATTAAGTGAAAGCAAAATCTAATGTGATGGGGTTTTTTTGTGTGCAGTGATCGGTGACTTAGGCTGAGACTATAAATAGGCTACAATTGAGAATGCGGTATAATCCCAGGTGGTTCTCTGCATCCGAATCCACGACCTCAGTGGTGCCAGCTCAGGGCTCTGATCCCTGAGCCACCCGTACACTTGGAAATGCAGGGGTTTTTATGACGGATTCATGTTATTTACAGAACAGAGACGCGTGGGGCTCAGCCATCAGAAAGGGGGGAATCTCCTGCCAAGGACAAGGCACGGCAGACAAAGACCACCTCCTTAACCAAGCGCCAGCTTCCTAAAGGTGGCGCGTCTCACTGCAGCTCGATTACCATCACGTAGAAACTTGGATCACAAGTGCCTGTATTTGAAAACGTTGTTCCACATGTTATTTTAGTCTGTCATGTTCAATTGCAGGTGATAAATAGTAAATACACCAGGGTCTGTTTCCTCACAAATAAAGTATTTATTTTTGTTTCATTTATTAAAACACCAAACCAAGTTGCCTGTTCCTTCACTAAACTTAAATAAAATACACAAGGAAATAATAAAAAAACAATACATGTACAAATAACAAATACAAACCATAAAATAATGTTATTTACCTCTAATACTGAGGGTTCATGGTGATAATGATGACGTTAATGAGGTAATGGGGGGGGGGTGTTATAAGTGTTGTGATCTGTGCCCACGCCTGTGTGGAAATGGTTGGGGGTTGAATACTTTGCGTGGAATTGGAGGGGCCACTCGGTGTCTTGGGTATGTGGACTAGTGCTGAATGATTAATAGCGTTCAAATCAAAATCACAATTTGAAACAATGCGATTAGGAAATCGCAAAGGCTGTGATTTTTTGCGATTTGAAAAGTCCTATTACTTTCTTATTGGAATTGTTTTATTTTGTATTATTATAACTTTATTTAACTTAACAATTGTTCTATGTTTGTTCTATTTCAATTAAAACATTTTAATAAATACATGTTGGAAGCAATTCATATATTTAAAGTTATCATCCTTGCATTAGAATATATAGAGCAGTTCATATTTTGATGGTATCATGTAGTAATGCTCCATCACATGTTTTAAATCTATTACACAGTGAATATTGAACTGAAGCTTGACTTAAAACAAATTTAATCGCAAATCAATCGCAATATCTGTCAGAAAAATCGCAATTAGATATTTTCCCCAAATCGTTCAGCCCTAACGTGGATGCACACCCAGGATGATTTCTTGGGAGGTGTGGCAACTCCCCATGAAGTGAGGTAATTGGGGAACAGCTGGATTTAATAATGAAATAATTAATTGAGGGAGAGCTGTCGCCTAAATAAAGGGAGCTGAGCCAGAGATCGGAAAAGCTCTTATGAGTGAGCTGGTGTTTTGGGCGTGGCTGAGTAGCTCTGCTATATTTTAAGCTATTTTAGGATAACTTTTACATTATTTTAAGTAAAGAATACCTGATGGATACCAAACCTGATATTTCCACTCCAACAAACTCTTGAGTCTCACCACCTCATAACAAAAGGGAAGATGGGCTTTGCTCACCCTTTTGGTTGCACACTTATGGGCCGTGGTTAAGGGCACAATTAATGCAAATAAATTAGTATTAAACGTCAAGAAAAGCGAAATAATGCGTAGCAATATGACAACGCCCGCACACTACAACAGTCACTGTTGGTGGTGGGAAGAGATCGGTGGTGGGAGCTGGGAGATGAGATTATGCATGAAGGGAATACATATGAGTGACTTGAAATTACAAGTGCTGGTCACCTTGCTAAACCACGATTACCCAAAATTACAAACAACAGTTATCAAATTGGTATGCCGAAGGAACATCGTGGATACATAAATACCCCTGATGCGAAAAATGCGATTGGTGAGGGATTGCTGTGTTTAGTTAAGCAGAAAACCCTGGACCACTTTTGACATTATCAATCTCATCACCACTGTGACTTTTAAGACATGCTACTAGAGAGCCTGATGTTATGAGTAAAAGCCCGACAAGAACACTATTGGGTGTGTTCAGCTGAATTGTACAAAGCCCCAAAGGCTGATGGACCTTAATATTATTTTAATGGATGATAAAACTCTTGGCAACCCATATTCTTTATAATTTAACTAACAATTTGAATCTTGAGATTTCCGCAGTCATTTTTCAATTTTCTTCGGGTCTGACTGCGTGTTGGACTTTATCAGCAGTTGTTGCTTAAGTCACGACTACCACCTGGTCTCCGTAGACCACAAAGGCAAATAATGAATTAAAAGGGGGAATGTAACAGGATGGATGGCTTTGTAGCAGAAGCAATTGAAGTGACATCAACAGTACCAAGAGCAGCAGATTCGCCTGATATACTTCAGGCATCACGTGGAGCTTGGTGTTAATTTTGACTGTTGCTGTTGTAACCTCGCTAAGCTGTTGTGTGTGCACCTAGTGTGGGGAGCGGTAATGTCGCGGTTAGCACGCTGCATTATAAACCCGGTGACCCGTGTTTGATTCCCGCTCACGGCCAACACCAGTGGCGATTATCCTAACCGGTCCTGGGCCTGCTCTAGGTCGACTCAACCTCAAATGAGTACCTGGTGCGGTGTGTAAACATCACCACTAGGGAGACGAAGGCAGTCGGGTGTGGCACTGGCCACCCACCCCCTCGTGTGCTGTGCCAGATTCGATAGGTGCTCACTAACAGCACTTGCCGCAACGGCCGCTAAAATACTTTACGGTGGATTTTTGTCTGTGCATCTAGCACCTTGCACAAGGAGCGGGCGGCACGTGAGGCCCCCACTGGACTACTGGAGGGGCGAGCACCTGATCACGGACCCCAAGACGGGCAAGGTGCATGTGACGGCCGGTGGGCACGACTACCTGCTGAGCCACTCCATCACCACCCCGGCCCGCAAACATCTGGTTAGTGTGTGCGTGTCCATGCGCCAAGTGTTGTGCAGTCGTGCAAAGAGCTTAGATGTTGTGGTGTTGGTGAGCCGCGGATTGAGTTTCCAATAATTTCATTAACAAGTGGGAAACTTAGATTATTCACACCAGAGTTGATTTGTGCAAGTTATTTCTCTGTAATGGCCACTCAAGTCAGTGATTTCCTGCTCAAATGAATTGAGGTAGTGCTTATCTGCTATTTACAGCCCTGAGTCAGTCGTGGAAAGTCCACATTCCTATGACAGGGGGCAAGTCTATAGATCGGACAAATACTGTTGACTTTCCCACAACGTGGTATATATTTTATCGACCATGGAGGGATAATGGGTTGAGTTAACCCCCAACTGGAATTTGAACTCGCAATCCTCTTGATAGCAAAGCACTTGCTGGACCACTGAGCCACCTGACCAGCTCACTGGCTCATTGTGCTTTGATATATGCATTGTTTTCACAATAGCATGCTGATTATAACTGATGAGATGGAATCCGTAATTTGTGGCTTTTTTCAACTTAAAAACATATTCGCCGAATCCGAAATGTATTTACACAACAAAATATAAAGGACTTAGGCATATTTATCATGTTCATGAGTAGGATTAGTTGTTTTGAAGGTTATATATTTTTTATCCATCTCAATCTTCCAAACAACTTTTATTCGAATAGAAAAGGAAATGTAAACGCACGTTAAACTTGTTTGCCATTATTTGTGGAACAAGTACGAGATGGAGAAATCTGCTGGAGACGTGACGGACAAGTCTCTCAAGAGGCCGAAACCAAGAAGCATGAAGGCCCCGGCACGCCAGGTCAGCGATCACGATGGTAGGTACACTCAAGCCTAGTCAGTCACCGCCATAATGTGAGGCTGACCATGCACAGCTGACGCCAGGCTTTCAGTCGGTGCAGCTCTCGTTATCTCACTCCGGTTTACCGTGGCCATCTTTATGTCCAGGCACCACAAAGGGCTCCCACAAGCATCAGCAGATCGTACCAAAGCCAACAGCAAGAAGGTTGATTGAGGTCAAGTTGGCCTTGGATGCACTGCTGCAGGACCTGAGCTCGGCCAACCAGACAGAGAGCCGCACGGAGCAGACGGAGAGCCACACGGAGCAGACGGAGAGGGGTTCGCTGGGCGGTTCAGGGTCCACCGGTGGCGAGGTGGCCCAGATGGACCATAACAGTGTGAAACCTGTGCCATCTATATACCTCAAAACAATCCTTCCAGACACACTGAGCGCGATACAGAGTTTACCCAGTCCATCGGATGCACAGACTCTGGAGCCTCCACAACCTTGTGAGAACCAAGTTGCTCTCCAGCACAGCTCCAAGAAGCGTACGTTGACCTTACAGGACCCCACGGAGCTCCTAACAGAGCTAGAGGAGTGCACAGAGGCAATTGATGAAGAAGAGTCGGCGAGCAAGGGCATTGTGCGGAAGGCAAAGCGGTTCAGGACGACCTCGGGCCCCACCATGTCCACTGCCGCTACACCAACGAAGGAAGTGGGTGCCCAGAGTGAGCGGCAACGTGTGGAGTCAGAGGGTCACAGCCCGAGCGGACCAGCCTCGAAAAAACCATTCCAGAAACCTCGGAACCACGAGGCGACGGGGAATGAGGGAGACGTGGGATGGCCTCAGAGCAGCAGCTCTAGTAGCGAGTGCCCTTCTCGCAGCAAGCGCCTCCGTACGCGGAGCGAGAGGAAAGCACTGCATCTCAGAGGTGAGTATGGTGGCGTGCGTTCGCCACACTCGATTAGTGTGTGCTGTAGCTTGCTTGCTTGAATTTGTTTTTTCGATTTCCTCAGCAGCTAAAAGGAGTTCTATGGAGGCTGTCACCAAGGCAGCCAGGTTTCAGAATCTACAGGTTTCAGAATCTACAAAGACCGTGGGTGTGAAGCCAGGCATGGTGAGCGCATATGGCACTGTAAGGTGACCCTCGACTTACGACGGCTCAACTTGCGACCCCCCCCCCCGCTTTTACGACCTTTCTTATAGTAATTAAGACCCCGACAGTAACGACCAAAACTCGTATCTATGACCGCCCAACGACTGCTATGGACGCCGAGTCGATTGGCGACGTCGAGTCGATTGGCGACGTCTGCGTTTGTCATGCACACACTCGTCGCCAGATGGCGTAGCGCACGGTATCGCCCGACAGTCTGCAGCTGCGCCGAGAGCGAACGCAGCGTCCTTTCTCAACGCTGTTCACTTCTTTGTAAATTTTCTTAACATTTTTTTTAAAACAAAAAATCGCCTTTTGCTACGTCTGAGAAGAGGAAATGTGATGCACATGCAGAAAAGTACTTAAGGATTTACAAATGTTTGTTTTTCCTTAATAAATGTTTGTAAAGGTTATGTTAAGTCACAATAAATGTTTGTTAGGGGTTATTTTTTAATTTATTTTCGTGGTAAATTTTGGTATTTTTGATGGTATGTAATGGGTTTCCAGGAATGGAACCCCAATGTATAACATTGCGCCTATGGGAAATAAGGATTCGATTTACGATGACTCAACTTGCGACCATCGTCCAGGAACAAATTAGGTCGTAGGTGCGGGGGTCGCCTGTACTGCGGTTCTATCGCTACAAACAATATCTTCTTGATGAAATCAAATCCCTGTATCCAGACATCAATCCATGTATGTTTTCAACAGGGCAGCATTGGGGCCAATGGCGCTGCTTGTGCGTGGCGTTCATTGCAGCTACCCCTCAGCAGTGCAGGTATGAAATCCGCATCACTTCCTTTCCTATGCCCCTCCATCCGTAGCTACCTGCAATAATTGTATCTGTGGAAATGCTGGGAACATAGCAGATATCTGCCAATCGCGGTGTCGACATACGTGTCACCCTGATAATGTTTCATTGTGCGTTGTCATGGGTCCGGTGTTTTTTGTGACTGGGTGCAGATTTACCCTTGAATACGGCCGCAGACTTCATATTTTCTGCAATCACAGAGTCGGAGTACAACCTCCACCTCCGGTATGCTGAGGGAGACCATGACCTTTCTGACTGAGCAGTGGCACCACTCTCCCAATATCATCAATGTGGCCTTATTCATTCAGCCGGTGCAACATCCTTTGGCCTGCTTTCGATCAACAGGAGCCACCAGTTGGGCTAATTATTAGATTCAAGGTTCAGACCAAGCCTCAAAATTTTTGTTTGTAAAGGAAAGTCGTGGTTTTAATTTACTTTGTTGTCCTTTATTGAATATTTTAAATGTTTTTATCTAAACAAGAATCACACTACTTGAAACTGTCACCTACACACACGTCAGGTCTATGGCTTAAATTATCTGTTGCAATGAGGCAAAAGCCCTCACCCCAGAAACAAACCCGGTCTTGTGTCAAATGCTGATAAAGGCAATAAAGCATATTTATTAAGAAAATCGAGTTCAACATCACAAACGTCCTCCTCACGTTTATTTTAACATTGTGCAAAGGCACAACTACAGCAAGAAGCCCCATAACTGCTGCTTTACACAGCACTACCAACACCCAAAACAGCAACACCCATTCATCACTTGCCACCAATACATTTAAAAGTTAATTACGACCAGTAAAATATTTATATTTAATGAAGTGCTATGCTTCCTAATATACAAGGTATTTACAGTTTCCTTGGAACACGGACACTGCAGAAGTAACGAGGTGACCCCCTGTGCCATCAAGAGGCATCCAAGGTGCTCACTGGGGTCTCTATAGGAGACCAGGCCCAGCTTTCATATGATCAGTGGAAAGGTTTCAACACGTAAGTTTGCGCATCCAAGTGTCATCTTCTACGTTAGGTCGCCCGTTCAGCATAATTTTCTATCAAGCCTTCTTCGCCATGCGATATGTATGTTGAACTTCTTTCGCACCGTACATAGCCAACAGTGCTAATCGGAGGTACTGGGAAGGACAACAAACTTGAAAACAACAAGCGGGCGGGCATCTTCATTTCAACTCCTGTAACTGCCCGCAGTAGTGCATGCAAAAGCTTTAGAGAAGAAATGCTCAACATGTATCCAAACCCAGAAGACTTCACTTTAACAGACATTATTCACGTTGTGAGCACATGCCATGGAGGGCTGTGTCTGGGCCCCCTGTGTGTGAAATCATGTGTGTGCACGAGGAGCCTCTATGTATGTGCTGTGATTCCGAGCCGTGTTGTAGCCAGCAGCAAGCTGCCTTGGCCCTCGGAGGCCAAGTCTGTAATGGATCGAGATGCCCGGCCCATGGACGTTCGTCCTTCCAGAGATTCCATCAGCTCTGCACCAGAGAGAAACAGGGCGAGGTGTTGTGATGGGGGTTGTGCACTGTGTATGTTATGAGTTCAGGTATGTGCTGAATCCACGTGTGCGGTAAGCCGTCGCTTAAGCGTGTGGTATTCACACCACATTTTCACTATAACGCAGTTCTTGCTTTCGGAAACACTTTTCGAACAATGAAAAACGTGCCCCTTATAACGCGATTTCTGCACGGTCAATGAACTACAGTCGTGAGATGTCAAATACCTCGCCTGGCATGCAGGAGGTCATCGGTTCGATCCTGACCCTGATGTCTGTATATTTGGACTTTGCATATTCTCCCTGTGGTCGTGTGGATTTTGTTCCAGGTCCTCCAGTTTTTCCCTCTACATTTATAAACATGCGTTTAGACTATTTTGCTGCAATACATTTCCAGATAAGCCACTTCGTTGAGCTATTATTTGTGGCCAGATTACTTCTGAAAAAGAGATATATAGCTCATCGTATCTCGCCACGCTTCATCGTTACATTATTCATGGAGAAATTGCTTTCGCTTAACGAGATCTTCGCTTAACGTGGCACTTTTCAGGAACGCATCTACTGCTTTAAACAAGGCCTTAATACTACTGTATATTGGTCTGGGTGTGTGCTGCGTGTATTGAGATAAACGTGTGTATTTTATGTACTGTGTCAGTGTGTATGATCTCAGTCAAACTATGGCACCTGGGTCTGTCCCATGACCTGCCAGCGAGCCTTCAACAGTTCACGTGGCCGCAAGGTCCATTTGGCCTGACACAAGCATCGTGGTGACGACACCACCACTTGGTGGCGAATGGCGGTTGTTGGTAGAGGTTGTGCATTGGTTAGCATACTGCTCTGTGAACCCGGCGACCTGCGTTTGATTCCTGCTCACCGCCAACAATGACGACTAATATCTAAATCGGTCCTGGGCTCCCTTAGATTGACTTAACCTGAAATGAGTACCTGGTGCGGTATGTATAGATCAGCACTGGGGAGACAAAGGTGGCCAGGCATGGTGCTGGACATCCACTTCTTTGTGCCTTGCTTTCTTTCATAGGTGCTCACTAACAGCACTTGCCCCAACATCCTGTGTAAGCTATACTGGGGATCTTTGTTGGTCTGAGCATGTGCACTGCAGGTGTGACTGGTCTGAGTATTCGAAACGTAGAGGGTGGGTATTTGCGTGTGTTCAATAAGCCGCGTACCTTCCACCACCCGATGGTACGTGAAGTGTAAGTACAGCAGAGACAGCATGTGCAGTGAAGCGAGTGTCCCGCACAGTACCATCCGCTGGCGATAGCCCGGAGCCCGCGATGCCAGTACCATCACCTGAAACCACCATAAAACCATCACGACATTATAACCCTCGCCACCACAATACCATGACAGATTTAACAGTTCGGAATCGGCAGCCACTGAAAGTGTGGTCTCTATGGCTTAGGCCTGTTGATCAGTTCTTCTCTCATGTTTTCGCCATGCAATACTGCTAGCACCTTTATTTCAACTTTTGAAGATGCCCGCAGTCGTGCGTAGCAAAAGCTTAGAAGAAATGCTCACATGGAGCCCAAACCAAAATACTACACTTGGAACAGCAAACAAAACACTCCACATTTGTAAATAACACTGCCTTAAACCACAGGTTACGTGCTATGAATAAGGGACAATAACGGACGTTATTCACCGTGTGAACACTGGTGAAACCCCTGAATTGTTGTCATCAACTGTGAACATGTCGGTGTGTTCTCTGAATATATGAGGAGTGCTCTTTACATGAGGCTTGCTCAGTGTGTGGTGTACGGCACTCGCCATGCGGAGGGCGGAGAGGCCCCCGACGACTACCCAGAGCGAGAAGAAGAGGGCGTGCACGTGCACGTTATACGTGACCAGCAGCACGACGCAGTGGCCGAAGAGGCTGTAGCCCTGTGAACATAAATGGGTCGGGGGGAGGGGTGGTTGTGATGGCACGTCTGGAGGTGGTAATGGTTGCAGTGGAGGTAGCCATGAAGAATTTTGGTGGTTTGAATTTCATTGGATCTCGGTGATTGTAAAAGTGCTGCTTGTAATGGCTGTGGAGGGGGTGGTGGTGATTGTGGGGGTGGTTGTGCAGGTGGTGGTGGTTGTTGGAGAGGAGGTTGATAGATGTGAAAAGTGTGGTGGGTGTAGTTTGGGTGGTGGTCATTATGATTGTATATTGGAGGTGGTGGCTGTGAAGCAGATGATGATTATAGGGATGGTTGTTTAGGTCATGGGGGGTGGTGGTGAGTGGTAGGCATAGTTGTGGTGGCTGGAGCTGTAGTGACTGACAGTGGTTATAGTGGATCTTCATTATGCCTGTGGTGAATATGGCAGTGTTTGTGGGGATAGTGGTGACTGTAAGTGGTTGCAGTGATGATCGTGGTACTATAGAGGCCATTACAATGAGCGCCAGGGTTTGACTCATGGAGATGCGTGTTCCGGTCACGTAGGCCAGAAGGTAGAGTAGCCCGGAGGCGCCCAGCCAGTACCCCAGGCATGTGGCCAGGGCGGTGCCCATCAGCGTGCCCTCCCTCTGCATACACACAAACACACGCATGGGGCCACACTTAGGCCTCGCTCGCTACTAAGCTACTGGGAACGTAAGGCCCAGACCAGGTTAGCATTGAAGGTGGCCTGTGAGTGGTGCGTGCCCTGCAGAGCCCCACAATGATGGTGCCCGAGGACTTCATGCCCTGCAGCAGGATGGCCACCAGCGTGAGGACGAGCATCAGCGGCCCGTACAACTCCCTCTCCACTCCCTGCAACCACACACACACGCACGGACCCTAAACCATCAGTCGATAACCGAGGTGCCCGTGCATCGTGCACACCTGTGGGGCATAGCGCAGTGGTTAGCCCATTGTGCTAGGAACCTAGCGACCCGAGCGCAGGGGAAGGGGCTGCTGTGCGCAGGGTGTACACACCTGGGGCCGGTTGATCTGGCGCTTGGGAATGAGCGACTGTAAGAGGCGTTCGCGGACCTGCGCGGGATCCACGTCAAAGTATGGCCGCAGCAAGTCGATGTTGGCGTAGAAGGCGAAGGCCTTGGTTGCGCGCTCCGAGCCCGCGGACAACACCTGCAGGGCAAAGCGACAGACACTGCTCGGGCCCCCAATGCCGACCCCGGACCCCAGTCTTAACCTGACTCCAGTCCTGACCAATACCTCAAGTTTTAAGCGGAACTTCGTTATAACGCAGACCCCCGGTCCCAACTCTGAACTTTGTTACGATTCTTATTTTACCAGATAAGGCCCACTGAGCTACATAGTTTTTTCAGAAGTGAACTGGCCACAAAATTAGCCCGATTAAGTGGCTTATGTGGAAATGTTTCGCAGCCAAATACTCTCAATGCATATTCTCAACGTGGTGAAAAAAAACTGGAGGCCCCGGAGAAAAATCCAAGCGACCACTGGGAGAGAGACGCACACTCCATCTATACAGGCATCAGGGTGGGGATCGAACTCACGACCTGTATACAAGGCGAGGTAGTTAACTTTTCGCCCAAGGGACATAACGACATCAGTTCAGGGGGGTGCGGCAATCGGTCAGATGGGGCCCAAATGTTTGATTTGCGGAAGCGAAACGCGACTGCTCGGATTTAATAAAAAAAAATAAACGTGGAAGGTAAACTTCAGAATTTTAATAAAAATTCGATTTAAATCGCGTTTTAAATACTTGATCTTTTACACTTCTGTTGAAAACATGGTGTTTGTCAAAGGGGCCCCAATTCGTAGCTTTTGCCACCAGGGGGGCAAGGCACCCCCTGCCCCCACGCTGGTACGGCTCCTGTCTCGAGGCCCCGTGAACAGTTTCAGTTTCATTTATTTGGTATAGCCCTGTGAGCCATTCGGCTCTTGAATCGGGTGCAACCGCAACAAAAACATGAACAATAAAATATCTTAAAGTGACTATGCGTAAACAGAAAAAAACGCAAAAATCTTCCATAAAAAGCACCGTACACCAACGCTGTGTGCAAAAATCCCAGTGGGATGCAAGTCAAACAACAACACAACTTAGATTAAAGCCATCAGTTTAACTCCGTACTACAACAAACAAACATGGCCAAACCAAAAAACTTTTCAAAACCACCAAAATAAATCCATAAAAGCAATGTAACAGTTATCATAGGAACTGTGACCGAAATTTCACCATAAACAGCATGTACCACCAAACCCTGTAGCCATAGCTGGCTGCATGAGTCACTCCCACAACAGCAGGAGCATCAGTTGGAGTATCAAAATTTGTCAATGCACCTTTAAAGATCAGCACACTAAATCAAGACTGTCAATTTCAGGCTGTACCTGTCCGACCACCTGTTTCCCGAGCTCCCTGTGTAGCCCCGAGATGCCCAGGAACTCCTCGTCCTCCCCGCCGCCCCCGCGACGCTCCCGCGCGGGTCCCCCCGGCTCATCCACCTCCTCGAAGCTGGAACCAGATGCGTTGTCAAGGTTCTCCATGTCGATAACGGCCGACGCACCGGGCCGGGACCCCTCCTTAGGGTGGGGGTCAAACAAGGGGGGGGGGGGGACACACGACTCAGAATTCTTGCAAGGACTCAGGGTCCCCTCTACCCCCCCCCCATCCCCTAGTCTCATGAGACCCCTGGGCTCGTGAGCTCGATTACGCCACTTCGGTTTTGCCGAGATTGACCCGGCCGGTCCGGGCACTGGCGTCTGTGTTCGTGTGGCAGGTATTAAGTTTGAACCGGCATTAGTATGTTGAGCTTAATGACCGGATTGCCGCACGGTTTTGACGGGGCGAGTCCTGAGAGACGGGTCTGGGCAAAAAATTGCGACCCACCCACCACCCCGCCACCGCTCCTCACCCGAGCAGAGGGGGTCCCGTACGCGTCCCACGTCTTCTCCGGGCCCGTGCTGTCCGCCATGGGCGAGGGCGATCGCGCTTAGCGAGGGGGGGTCCGGGTGGTTGGCGCTGAGCTCCCGAGTGTGGTCCGGGTGGGTGCCGCTGAGCGCCCGAGGGGGGTCCGGGTGGGTGCCGCTGAGCTCCCGAGGGGGGTCCGGGTGGGTGCCGCTGAGCTCCCCAGGGGGGGTGGTCCGGGTCCACGTGTCCAGGAAACTCGCGGCGTCAACACGGACGCGGAAGTCGTGACGTCACCGCGGTCAGCTGACGGCCCGCGTCACGTGACCGCTGGCAGCTCGTTGAGGACAAGGGCGACCGGCGGGGCAGCAGTGGAGAGAGCATCCCCCATGCGGACCGCGACGAGCAAGGCGCAGAGGCTGGGGGCGCCCAGGTTGGCCGGGACAGGGGCTGTTGACTGGGCATAAGAAGAAGGCGATCCACTCGGGGTCGCCGAGTCCCTTGATTTTTTAATTCGCTGTCGTCTCTTGCTTGCCCGTGTCCCCGCGTGTCCCCATGTTTTTGAGTGCCCGTGTTCACGTATGTCTCCGTATGTCTCCGTGTGTCTCCGTGTGTGTCTGTGTCCCCATGTTTTTGAGTGCCTGTGTCACCGTGTGTCTCCGTGTGTCCCGGTGTGTCTCCATGTGTGTCTCCGTGTATGTCAATGTTTCTGCGTGCCCGTGTCCCCGTGTGTCCCCGTGTCCCCATTTGTCTCCGTGTGTCCCCCTGTGTCCCCGTGTGTCCCCGTGTGTCTCCGTGTATCTCAATGTTTCTGTGTGCCCGTGTCCCCATGCGTCCCCATGTGTCTCCATGTGTCTCCGTGTGTCCCCATGCGTCCCCACGTGCCTCCGTGTGTCCCCATGTATCTCAATGTTTCTGCGTGCCCGTGTCCCCGTGTGTCCCCATGTGTCTCCGTGTGCCCCCATGCGTCCCCATGTGTCCCCGTGTCCCCATGTGTCCCCGTGTGTCCCCGTGTGTCTCCGTGTGTCCCCGTGTGTCCCCATGTGTGTCTCCGTGTATCTCAATGTTTCTGCGTGCCCGTGTCCCCGTGTGTCCCCGTGTGTCTCCGTGTGTCCCTGTGTGTCACCATGCGTCTCTTAAATGCCTCTTTCCGTGTCCCTGTGTCCTTAACCACTACTCCATTGTCTCTTGAGTCTCCGTGTCCATTGATCTTTATACATCGCCTTGCCCTCCTGATTTCCGATATGCCGTGTGTCTCGTGACCGACTCCGTTGGCTCACGAGTTTTGTTTTAACGTCAGTTCCACTTTCCCCGTGTGGCCAGGCCCCTGGTCTGGCTCTCGCTGCTGCTGGTGCTGCTGCTGCTGGAGGCGAGACCAAGCCAGGGATCCGTGCTGCTGGAGGCGGATCAGCCTCTCGGGTAACAAAGACATTGTAGCCTTCACAGACTGTTGGGGCAAGTGCTGTTAGCGAGCGCCTTTGAAGGCCGGCACGGCACGGCATGAGAAGGGGTGGGTGGCCAACACCACGCCCGGCCGCCTTTGTCTCCCCAGTGGCGATATTTACACATCGCACAAAATACTAATTTGCGGCTGAGTCGACTTAGAGGTGAACCAGGACTGATTCAGGTAATCGTCGCTGGTGTTGGTCGTGAGCGGGAATCAAACTTGGGTTGCCAGCTGCGTTGCGCTAACCTCTACACTACCCCACCATCTATCGCCCCCCATCACTTCCCCCTCATCACCCCTCCATCTGCATCCACCCCCATCACTCCCATCCGCCCCTATCCCTCCCACCCCCTATCACCCCCCCCCATCACCCCCATCCCCCACCCCTGATTCCACCCCCTCCAATGCCCATCATTCGCCACTAAGTGACGGTGACGTCCCCACAGCACCTGTGCCAGGCTAGGTGCACTTTGAAGCCACGTGAAGTGTCCAAGGCTCGCTGACAGGAGGGTTCGGGACAGACCCAGCAGGTGCCATGGGTTGGCTGAGATGACCGGTAGATGCACCACCAGCTGTAACACCCTACTGTGTGCCAACTTGCTGCACTTTAGCCGCCCGTCACTCCGGTCCCACCGCTCACCCACTATCCCTCCCCCTCACCTCCTACCCCCCCCCTCACCTATCCCCACCCCTCACCTATCCCCACCCCTCACCCACTACCCCCCACCTGACCCACTATCCTGTCGCCCCTCACCCCCCATCCCTCCCCTACCCCTATCCCCTCCCCCCCCTTATCGCCCCATCCTCTTCCACCCCCTCCCCACCAAACCACTCCTCCTCTTTACCCCCCACCCCTCCTGGTCGTCCGCACCCCATCCCCCCCACCCCCCTCCCCCTCACCCTGCCCCCTCCCTGCCCTAACGCAAAGAGCCACAGCCGCGCCCTCACAGAGGCCCAGTAGCAGTGATGGAGTGATTATTGTGCCGATGGTAGTGGTCGTGTGATGATCGTGACGGTGGTGGTGGTGATGATAGTTTTCATGATTGCAGCGGTGGTTAAGATAATATCGATAGTTGAGAGTGGTGTCGTTTATGGTGTGATTATTGTGGTGACGACGGTGAGATTTGTGCTGGTCGTGGTCATTGTGGTGGTGGTCACTGGCGGAGCCAGTAGGGGGGGTGAGGTGGCACGTGCCCCCCCAAATGATCCGATCGAAATCCCTAATTCGATCGGATAATTGGGGTTTATTAGTAATAAATCGGCATTTTGCGACCCCCACTGCCACTGTGTAGCATATTATTACGCGCCAGGGACAATCGTCCATAATTGGCAATAAGTAACGGAAAAGCAGTTATAAGTAACTCACAGAATTGTGCGTAGTTGCCTATAGAGTACACGACTTTCCTGAAGGCATTCACCTTCAGCGAGCGCGATGCCGATCACACAACGCGGTTCGAATTCGACCCTCGATCGATGGCTACGCCATCGCCGCACACGCGTCGAATAAAAAGCAAGGGACAAGTCTTTACTTACTAACAACTCCTCTATCATTTTTCATTGCTGGAGGGGTTGCCCCCCCATACCTGAAAATCCTGGCTCCGCCACTGGTGGTGGTGGTAGTCCGTGGCGTGGCGTCTGTGTACACACACAGTGTCCATGCAGGGTGGCAGTCCCTTATGGTTTTGATGTTTGTGGTGGTGATGGTGATGATGTTTGTGGTGGTGATGGTGGTGGTGGATGTGATGATGTTGGTGACCCGTGGTGTATGTGTGTGCACACACACAGGGCCCCAGACGGGTGGCATACCCTGGGCGATGTGGCCCCCGACTCGGAGGTGGAGTTGACCTTTGCACTGAAGCAGCAGAACGTGGAGGCTCTTCTCGCTGTGCTGGATCGCGTGTCTGACCCGGCCTCGGAGAACTATGGTGACAAAGATACCCCGTATAGCCTTTAACACTGTTGGGGCAAGTGCTTGTAGCGAGCACCTATGAAGGCCGGCATGGCCAGTACCGCGTCCGGCCGCCTTTGTCTCCGTCGTGGCGATGTTTACACGCCGCACCGGGTACTGATTTGAGGCCGAGTCAACCTATGGGGGGCCCAGGACTGGTTCAGATAATCTGCATTTGTGTTGACCGTTAGTGGGAATCAAACTTGTGTCGCCGGATTTGTTGCACGACTGCTCCCACACACACTCACGCGTGCTCACTTGCACATACACTCGCGTGCTCTCGCTCGCTTACACACGTTTGTTTACATACTCACATACACATACTCAAAAATCGCACACTCGCTACCAAGCTCTCTCTCACCCCGCCACACTCACCTGGGTGAGTGTCAGCCTCTGCTAAAGAGTTTCCGCAAACGCCACCTCTTTAGCAGACGTGAGCGTGACGATGACTCGGCACCGTTAACCTGTGTGTGGTGCAGGCCGTCACCTGTTGCTGGACGAGGTGGGGGAGCTGGTACGTCCGAGCAAGGAGACGGAGCGGACCGTGCAGAGCTGGCTGGCGGTGCACGGGGTGACCCAGTGTAGCTCCGTGCTCACGCAGGACTTCCTTCTGTGCTCCATGTCGGCTCGGTGAGTGACCCGACGGGCACACAGGGGCGGAGCCACAGGGGGGGCTGGTGGGGGGCTTAGCCCCCCCTGAAATTTTGGGAAAGTCGGTAATCAGGATAACCGGATATCCGGCTGCTGCAAAATGCTGCAGGCTGCCACCTTGTGCTGCCCTGCAGGCTGCTACCTTGTGCTGCTGCCCTGCAGGCTGCCACCCTGTGCTGCCACCTTGTGTGCTGCCCTGCAGGCTGCCACCTCGTGCTGCCCTGCAGGCTGCCACCTTGTGCTGCCCTGCAGGCTGCCACCTTGTGCTGCCCTGCAGGCTGCCACCCTGTGCTGCCACCTTGTGTGCTGCCCTGCAGGCTGCCACCTTGTGCTGCCCTGCAGGCTGCTTGAGCGGCAGCCTTTCGAACTTATCGAACTTATTAGCCACATCAGCGGCTCCGACCTATTAATAAACTCCACACGTCTGCCATGTCCTTCGTATACATTTGTGGCGCCCATTGGAAAACATGAACACTGGATATCTCAGAATATTGAAGTCAGCCCCCCCAAAGTCAAAATCCTGGCTCCGCCCCTGCCGGCACAGCTTCAGTTTAGCCACGATGGCCACCACCAAATCTACAACTACCTCCACTCTTCACAGCTACCACACCTCCGATTAGCGCAGTTGGCTACGTATGGCGCAAAAGAAGTTCAACATACATACTCACATACCACCTCCTCTACAGCCTCCAGCACCCTCAGAACCACCTACAATCAACGTTTCATTGAAACCCGGTCTGTCTGGGCTTGCAGCGATCCAGAAAATATTTCCACCCCCAGCACACCCCATGCAGTATTGGTTTGGTTTACTGGTTTATTAATGGCACAGGTAAAACCTATTAGGCAATGGATGTCCATTTTTCAATGGGAACCTGGTTACACAACTGAAACCTAGTTATCACAAAAACATTAAAATCTATGTACAACTGTACATGGTCAAGTTCCTAATGGAAATGTTGTCCATCAACCTGGTGCAACCAGTAGAAAAAATACAATATACAAAAAGTGCATGAATAAAAATGAAAGTTGTACCTCTCTGTGGCTACTACCAACCACGTGCCACCTCCTGTATTCCACCTGTGACCCTGCCCCCCTGGACATAATGTAGGCCGAGTTCCCACCATCACCCAGAACCCACACGCAGGGATGGGCAAAATACAAACAATGTAGAAATTTAGGAAATGTAATGCAGCTACAAATAACCAATTAACCATGTCTTGTGTAATTTGGGTACAAATTGCCAGCACTTGGTGTGTAATTTAAATACCAACCACATCGATGGGACCTTCTTGCCAGTATCAAAAATATGAAAAAATAGGAATACGCTTTACAATTATTGGCAATTATTGCCAGAAAGGATAAAGCGTATTGTTATTTTTCATCACGAACTACATATTACAATCGTAATGACATATTTACATTGCTTTTGATGTAGATCCTGCCCATCTCTGACGGCACGGTGCCATTTCTCTGCCTGGGCAGAGGCCCGCAACGATTGTTGACTTGGCGAGGCCCAGCCAGGGTTGACCACGATCTTCCTGGCTCGCTCGCTTGTGGCGACGGGGCTGCGTGCCTGTGATGGGGGAGGTTCCCTCTCCGCGACGGCGGTGGAGGGGAGCGCTACGTGTGGAGGTGATGTTTAGCCGAGTGCTCGGCAACGCGTGCTGTGGCTGCTTGCAGGGTGGCGCACCGCGTGCTCCCGGGAACGCGCTTCCAGCGGTTTGAGCGTGACGACGGGCACGCGGTGGTGCGCTCCCTCTCCGCCTACTCGCTGCCCACGTCCATCGCCGCTTGCCTCGATTTCGGTACGAGCCGAGATTCACCCACCCACAAAAACGCCAGAGACACTTTACTGAAGTGAAACCCCACGCCGGTAACGTCTACCGCTTTACCCATACCCTCTGACTCCCACGTCCTTCACTGGAGTCACAACGCACATTTTAGCTGCGTTCAGAGTTTATTTCGCCAGTGATTTGGAGTTCGCTAAGCCTTGCTCAGAAAACGTCCAACTCTGCTTTTCTAACCTCGTTTAACTAAGTTTCCCTCAATGCCTGATTTTACATTTTATTGTTGTCAGTGACATACATCCCAGGTTAGATTGGCTATAATTACCTGCCTTGGAAATGGATTATTTTAGAACTCATGACATCAGCCGAGGTTTCGGCTTCCCTTCCCACCCCTCTCACTCTCTTTCCCAATTGAAACTCAATGTTTTACTTTGCTCACGGCGGGGTTGCGTGTGAATGTTTTATAGTTAAGAATTGGCTTGGTAATTTGTCGACTAATGCTTATTTCCTATGGTTAGTCTCGCCTCTGCCATAGGAATGTGGAATTTCCACTACCAGTTTAGGGCTGTAAACAGATGAGCACCACTTCCGCGGTCAGTGAGTAGGACATTGCTTTGACCATTGGTTTCAATAAAACGCTTGTGGATAGACTCACGCTGACCGCATGTTAACAGCATCGTACGCGTTTGTGCGTGTGTGTGCGCGCGTGTGTGTGCGCGTACATGTTTTGTGCTTGCGCGTGTGTGTGTGCGTGTACATGTGTGTGTGTGCGTGCGTGTGTGCGCGTGTGTGTGCGCGTGTGTGTGCGGCAAAACAACCCCCTACCTCCTCGCGGTGCCGGACGGGCAACTCTGTCGTGGACAGCGCTGTGGGGGGAGATCCAATTTTGATTGGCTCCTCCCCTCATGGCATATGTGTCCACCACAGGGGCTAAACGGGGGCTCTGGACGGGTGCGAGGGGCTGGTAACCCCTCCACCTTCAATTAATTACCACGAAACTACGAATGAAATATGTAACAACTAAGCTTGTGCCGGAGGCCCCGGGGGGCCAGGCGTCTATGACGTCTCCTGGCCAAACCCCAATTGGCGGAGCCAGGAGATTGAATACCTACCCTCGGGGCTACTCCAGAAACAACGAAAAGCCACTACGGTTGGCCACGTGGAATGTTCGAACGCTCACTGCAGAGGAGAGGCTGCCACTCCTCTGTCGGGAGCTGGACCGGTACCGCCTGGATCTATGCGGCATTCAGGAGGTCCGGTGGACCGGCTCTGGCTCCTGCCACCATGAGGGGTGGACAGTCCTCTACTCGGGGCAGCAGACTGCCAAACAACAGGGTGTGGGTCTTCTTTTGAACAAAAGAATGAAGGGGGCGTGGGAGCGTGGCGGTGAGGTGTGGGAAGCTGTAAGCCCCAGGCTACTTTGGGCTCGCCTTCCCATCAACCGGAGGCGAGGAATGGTGGTCGTGGTTACTTATGCCCCCACCGAAGATGAACATCCGTGGAGGGATGCAGGCAAAGCCGATGAGTCAGATGCCTTCTATGACCTCCTGTCACAGGTGCTGGCTAAAGTGGCCCCTCGGGATAGAGTCATCATGTTGGGTGACTTCAATGCCCGAGTTGGTCATGATACTGGCACCTGGTCTGGAGTGATTGGAGGGCATGGGCCAGATCAGCTCAATAACAACGGTAGGAGGCTGCTAGATTTTTGTGCAGCCCATGGGCTTGTAATTACCAACACGCTGTTCCGGCATCGGCGCATCCACACAACATCATGGATGCATGCCGGGTCCAAGCAAGAACATCTGCTGGACTACATAGTGACGGACCAGCGAATGCGAGCCCATGTCCTTGACACCAGGACCTACCGTGGAGCTGATCTGCCCTCTGACCATCGACTAGTCATCTGTAAGATGCGCCTGCCATTCTTCCACTCCGGTGGTGGGTGTACACCCAGGACCCCATTCCAACCTAAAGTGGCCTGGTCTCAGTTATCTGATGAAAGTTGCAAGCGAGAATTTCATCATCGCTTGCGGCTGGGATTGGCATCGTCCCCGACTCCTCCTGATGTCGAGGGTAAATGGGCGAGGTTTAGGACTGTGACTCATGCAGCTGCAATGGCTGCTTTGGGTACGCGGTCCAGACCTCCCCAGACACCCTGGATGACAGAGGAGTTGTTCAGGATGGTTGAGAAAAAGCGACAGGCCCACTGTCATCGGCTACAGAATCCCACGTCAGAGAATGAGGAGGCTTACCGCAGCCTTCGCTCGGAGGTTCGGAGAGCCGTGAGGCGCTGCAAGGATGGGTGGTGGTCGCGGGTTGCTGAGGAGATGGAGTCTGCCTCAGTGGCCCGTGATCACAAATCTCTATTTAACTCCATCAAAAAAGTAACCTGCAGCGCCACACCTATTACCATCATTAGGGGAAAAAACGGTGATCCAATTTCCGACCCCCAGGAACAGGTTCAGAGATTTGCTGAGCATTTCTGTGAGGTCCTGGGGGAGGGAAAATCCCTCAGCCAGGAAAACATCGCGGCACAAAGTGAGGATGACCCTGCTGAGGCTGCGGTGCCTCAAATATTGGATGAAGTCACCCCCTGTGAGTGGCTGGCTGAGGTGCCATCTGCTGAGGAAGTATTGAAGGCGATCCGGAGTCTGAGACCAGGAAAGGCAGCGGGCAGAGATGATCTCCCAAGCGAAATGCTGAGGGAGGGTGGCGTTTGTGCACAGACTGCCCTATATGACATCATAACAACAGTCTGGACCACTGGACGGGTTCCGCAGGATTGGAAGGATGCCCTGGTGGTCCCCCTTTTTAAGAAGGGGGACCGCACAGACTGTAACAACTACAGGGGCATCTCACTCCTCAGTGTGCCGGGAAAGGTCCTGGCAAGGATTATTCAGCATCGCCTTGCCAGGCACGCTGAGGAGAGGCTTGCGGAGCCCCAATGCGGTTTCAGGAAAGGGCGGTCCTGCACAGATGCCATATTTTCTGTCCGTCTGCTACAGCAGAGGTGTAGGGAATTCCAACAAGACCTACATCTCTGCTTTATTGACCTGGTCAAGGCCTATGATACCATCAGTAGGCCTGGGCTCTGGGTCGTTCTTCGTGCTTTTGGAGTACCTGACCCTCTGCTCACGATCATTAAGGACCTTCATGATGGTGAGCGGGCCCGGGTAAAACTACGTGGCCGGGAGTCAGAGCCATTCCCTGTACACCTTGGGGTGCGACAGGGATGTCCTTTGGCTCCCACATTATTTAACATCTATTTTGACCACGTAGTTCGTGAAGCCTTCAATAGCTGTACCGGGGGAATCTCCATATGGTACAGATATAATGGGAGGCTAATCGATGCCCGGGTGCGGTCAAGGGATGGCTCCCTATTGCTCAACCACGTTATGTATGCTGATGACTTGGTAATAGCTGCTCAGTCAGAGGAGGAGTTGGAGACGCTGCTGCTGAGACTGGAGCATGCCACTAAGAGGTGGGGCCTTACCATCAGCCCCACCAAAACTAAGCACCTGCCTGGGTATTTTGTACCATCGGACACTCCACCACCACAACTCCCAATCGGTGATGGGGCAGTTGTGGAGAGAGTGGAGAGTTTCCCATACCTGGGCAGTGTGCTTATGACTGGCTCCAGTTTGACAGCAGAGGTCTCACTCCGAATCAGTCGAGCGGCAATATCTTTTCATCGGTTGCGTAACGCTGTGTGGAAGCTACCTGGTCTGTCGCTCCGCACTAAGCTTCAGGTCTTCTCGGCCACGGTCATTCCCTCCCTTCTCTATGCTTGCGAAACGTGGACCCCCCTAATGGAACATCTTCGCCGGTTAGAAACATTTAGGCTGGCCTGCCTACGATCCATCCTGGGTTTAACCAGACTGGATTGTGTGAGGAGCTCACAAATCCTTGAAAGATCTGGGCAGGGTCCCATCGGTGAGCTCCTCCGGCAGGCAAGGCTGCGATGGCTGGGTCATGTAGCCCGCATGCCCAGCCACCGCATGCCGAAACAGCTTTTGTTTGGCCGGATTGAGGGGGCTAAGCGGGCGCGGCACGGGCTAGAGAAGAGATGGAGTGATGTGGTACAGGAGGACGTGGAGCTGAGTGGACTTGCCGATGACTGGTACCAGCGGTGTCAAGATCGGCCTCTGTGGAGGAGGCTCGTGAAGGATGCTACTGGGCAGTTGGAGGCAGTCGCCCTCCAACAACAACGGAGGGCGGAGGAGCGACGCTCACAACAGCGAGCGGAGCGCCGGGTGGCTAAAGCACAGCAGGTTGGCACAGTAGGGGGCACAGGTGGTGCATCAGCCAGTCATCTCAGTCAGTCGACCCGTGGCACCTGGGTCTGCCCCGTGACCTCCTGCCAGCGGGCGTTCGACACTTCACGTGGCCTCAGGGTGCACATAGCCTGGCACAAGCGTCGTGGTGACGTCACCGCCACTTAGTGGCGAATGGCGGTTGTTGTTGTTGTTGTGTGCGTGTGTGTGTGTGTGTGCGCGCGTGTGTGTGTGCGCGCGTGTGTGTGTGCGCGCGTACATGTCGTGTGCGTGTGCATGCACGCATCAGTTGGGGGGGGTCCACCGGTTCCCGTCGTGGCATCCCCGCGGCGTGCGGATCCCACCCCTGGACGGCAGGGCTGCCCCCAACGTGTCGTTCCACCTGGGTGTGAACCCCAGCGTCCTGCGGCAGCGCTACAACCTGAGCGCCGCCGACGTCGGCTCCCACCCCAACAACAGCCAGGCGGTGGCGCAGGTGCGAGCGGCGGCGCACGCACCGCTCGGCTCACGGGCAGAGACCACCGTCTCCCCACCTGTGCGGAAAGGAATGTGGTCTCACGTACAACTGTTCCCCCACGCGAACCTCAAAACATAAACCCGAACCCTGAATGATAGTCTTACCGTAAGCCCCAATCCCGAACCGCTAAACCCTACATCCTAACTCCTAAACCATAACCCTGACTCCAATTCTAGACTCTAACACTAATGCCTCACCCCAAACATGAAACCCTATATATAAAGTCTAACTCTAACCCCTCATCATAAACCATTAGTCTAATCTCAAACCATTATCCCTAACCATAATCCCGAAACCAAACTTCTAACCCTAAACCTAACCCTGAACCTAACCCCTAAACCCTCTCTCTAGCTCTATATATGAACCCCAGACCATAAACAATAACCCTAACCATACATTCCAGACCCCTAACATGTTAACTCCACACGCAAACTTGAGGAACCATGCATGAATATTTGATAAACTGAAACCAAACGAAGCTCTATGGTTGGACGAAAATCCGGTCTGTGATTGGTTCAAAATCTGCGGGGTGGTGGGGGGGGGGGGCGGCAGTGCTAGGGACTCGGTTCTGCAGCGATGGTCGTTGCCGCTTGGCTGATAGTTGAGTTCGCACAGCTCAGTGGGCTCCCCTGCAGCAGCCACGCAACCTCTCATCCCACCCATCCCCTTCGGCGCAGTTCCTGGATCAGTACTTCCACGCGTCGGACCTGTCGGAGTTCATGGCTCTGTTTGGGAAGGGCTTCCCACACCAGAGCAAGGTGAGCCGGGTGGTGGGGCCCGACCAAGGCTTCCGCGCCGGCCTGGAGGCCAGCCTGGACATCGAGTACATCATGAGTCTGGGTGCCAACATCTCCACTTGGTTCTGGAGCACTCCAGGTACCCTGGCGGTCACGGTTGCGTTCTGTGCTTGCTTGCGCGACATGTTACGGTGTAGTGAAACACGGTATAATGTGATGGTAGCATTTCCTATTCTCATACCTACTTTCAATAGTTGGAGCATATAGGGTTGGTGGATGGGTGGCGCCGAGGTTTCAGCGCTAAGCTGGCACCGCTGAGACACCCTGGGTTTGAATCCAGGTAGCCGCTTGAGATTAAACGACATTTATGGTCTCAGCCCGGCCACCAATGACTGCATCACGTGAATGTATTACTCTCATGTGGCAGGGTAGAGCTGCCCCTTGCTGTGTGAATCAGAGGTCACTTGAAGGGATCTCACACCGAGCTCTGGAGTACAGGTAGTCCCCGACTTACGAGGGTCCCCGACTTACGGTAGTCCCCGATTTACGATGGTCCCCGACTTACGATATTTCGATCTTACGATGGCGATAGCGATATGACAAAATTGTAAAATATTTTTAATTTCGCGCGGCAGGCAAACACAGGTACGATACTGTACTTTATCATCGCGATCCTCCTCTTCCGACAACTAAGTTAATGTAGCCATCAACAACCTAACATCGTTCAAGTATGCAGACAACGGACAGAATCTTGTTGAGTACAGTAGAATATGATTCGTTACGATACGTTCAATGCATGTATGATACATAGCTTTAGCGATTTCATTTTAGGGTTACCACGATACGATACATACGCTCAATGCATATTAAAAGTTTTTATAGCAGATAGGATTGTTTCCTGAAAAAAACTTTCTATGAAATTGCAGTTCATATAGGTAAGCTAAGAATTTACCTTGTTTTTTACTGTGCAATAAATACAAACAGTATATAGTTTATACAGTACGGTACTGTAAATTGCTCTGTTTTGCTAACTTATCACCATTCTTTAAGACTCCTGGGTAGGCTAGGCCATTTTCGACTTACGATGGGGTCGTCGTAACGCATCTCCATCGTAAGTCGGGGACTACCTGTATATAGCAGCGTCTCCGTCGTAAGTCGGGGACTACCTGTATATAGCAACGGCGTCTCCGTCGTAAGTCGGGGACTACCTGTATATAGCAGCGGCGTCTCCATCGTAAGTCGGGGACTACCTGTATATAGCAGCGTCTCCATTGTAAGTCGGGGACTACCTGTATATAGCAGCGGCATCTCCATCGTAAGTCGAGGACTACCTGTATGTAGCAGCGTCTCCATCGTAAGTCGGGGACTACCTGTATATATCAGCAGCGTCTCCGTCGTAAGTCGGGGACTACCTGTATATATCAGCAACGTTTCCATCGTAAGTCGGGAACTACCTGTATATAGCAGCGGCATCTCCGTCGTAAGTCGGGGACTACCTGTATATAGCAGCGTCTCCATCGTAAGTTGGGGACTACCTGTATATAGCAGCATCTCCATCGTAAGTCGGGGACTACCTGTATATAGCAGCGTCTCTGTCATAAGTCGGGGACTACCTTATATAGCAGCAGCGTCTCCATCGTAAGTCGGGGATTACCTGTATATAGCAGCGTCTCCGTCGTAAGTCGGGGACTACCTGTATATATCAGCAGCGTTTCCATCGTAAGTCGGGGACTACCTGTATATAGCAGCGTCTCTGTCATAAGTCGGGGACTACCTGTATATAGCAGCGTCTCCATCGTAAGTCGGGGACTACCTGTATATAGCAGCGTCTCCATCGTAAGTTGTGGACTACCTGTATATAGCAGCGTCTCCATCGTAAGTCGGGGACTACCTGTATATAACATCGTCTCCATCGTAAGCCGGGGACTACTTGTATATAACATCGTCTCCATCGTAAGCCGGGGACTACCTGTATATAGCAGCGTCTCCATCGTAAGTTGGGGACTACCTGGATGTGCTTCCCTGGACAATTCCGTCGTGGGTGCTCCATCTTATGTCGTTACGCCGAGAGCACGATCGGGATAAATATATTTGGGATTAAGACAAAATAAAAAGAGTGGAGGGTATGGGGCTGGGCTGGTCAGTGAGCGAGCGGGGGCGGCGAGTGGATAATGGGCCATCTCCGCAGGCCGGCGCGAGACGCAGGAGCCGTTCCTGCAGTGGCTGTTGGCGCTGAGCAACACGTCGTCCGTGCCGTGGGTGCACACGGTGAGCTACGGCGACGACGAGGACAGCCTGTCCCACGCGTACATGAGGCGCGTGTCCACCGAGCTCGCCAAGGCCGGCGTGCGTGGCATCTCCGTCCTCTTCGCGTCCGGTAAGCGTCGTGGGGCGAGGGTGGTGGGGGGCGGTTAGCATTCCCGCCGCCACCATGCGTGCATTTGACTCTGTGTGCGGTACGCCGTGTGAGTGACCACGTCTGTGTCTGTGTGCATGACCCCGTCTGTGTGCATGACCCCATGTGTGTCTTTGGAGCTGTGTAATGCTGTGTGGACGCTACACAGGAAGCTTTGTCTTCTCAGCCACAGTCATGCCCTCTCTTCTCTATGCTTGTGAAACGTGGACCCCTCTAATGGAACGTCTGTGCCGGTTATGAACATTCAGGCTGGCCTCCCTACGATCCATCCTGGGTTTAACCAGGCTGGATTGTGTGAGGAGCTCACAAATCCTTGAAAGATCTGGACACATTCCCATCAGTGAGCTCCTTCAGTAGACAAGGTTGCATTGGCTGGGTCATTTAGCCCACATGCCCAGCCACCGCATGCCCAAGCAATTTCTGTTTGGCCGGATAGAGGGGGCTAAACGGATACGACACGGGCTGGAAAAGAGATGGACTGATGCGGTATGGAAGGATGTTGATTTGGCGAAGACTGGCATCAGTGGTGTCAAGATCAGCCTCTACAGAGGAGGCTCATGTAGGGCGCTACTAGACAGCTGGAGGGCAGAGGAGCGATCCTTGCAACAATGAGCAGAGCACCGGACAGCTAAAATGCAGCAGGTTGACACAGTAGAGGGCACAGTTGGTGCATTTGTCAGTCATCTCAGTCAACCCATGGCACCTGGGTCTGTCTCATGACATTCTGTAAGCTAGTCTTCGACACTTCACGTGACTTCAAAGTGCTCCTAGCCTGACACAAGCGCCGTGGTGACGTCACCGCCACTTAGTGGCGAATGGGGGGTGTTGTTGTCTCTGGAGCGGTGGCGCAGTGGTTAGCGCACTCCAAACCCAATGACCTAAGTTCGATTCCTGATCATGGCTAACGTAGGTGACGAACAAAATATCTGAACCGATTCTCCGCCTCCCCTAGATCTACTCAGTCTTAAATGAGTACTGTACCTGCTCCGATGTGTAAACATCAGTATTGGGGAGACAAAGGCAGCCGAGCGTGGTTCCAGCCACACCAAGACTGACCTTAAAAGGTGCTTGCTAACAGGACTTGCCCCAACAGCCTGTAAAGGCTATATAAGGGGTCTTTGTCTGCGAGCCCACGTGTCCGTGACCCCGTGGGCATGCCGCTGCATTACAGGAGATTCGGGCGCCGGCTGCCGAGAGGTTTCCAAGGATGTGGACACCTTCCGGCCCAGCTTTCCGGCCTCCAGGTGCACCTCCCGCGCGATCGTTTTTCCCCTGCGATTGCAGTTTGCTTCAGAGAGGGCGTTTGGGAATTATTGCGCCGAGTTTATAAATAATTTGAAAACCGAATAATTCAGACTTATGAACGCTAAGCCGACGATACTGCCTTCTCGAGTGAAGTATCTTCAGCTGATGTGTTCTCTGTTACCTGTGCTCGTTTGATGTGTGTTATGGGGGTTTTCCGGCACTCTTGTGTGTGGATTTATTGCCAAAACTCTTTTAGCATATTCTTGATTTTCCACGTTACAGCGCTATAGAAGTTTTCATAATTATCATAACGACCTGCCACACAGACATAGTGGATGGCGAGTGGTGATGAATGGTGGATGTAGTGTGTTGTGTGGATGATGATGAGTGCGCATGTGCGTTGTCCACGTGGCTCTACAGTCCGTATGTCACCACAGTGGGGGGCACCTCCTTTAAGGACCCCTTCAAGGTCACGGAGGAGGTCTCAGACTACATCAGCGGCGGTGGCTTCAGCAACGTCTTTGCACGGCCGGCCTACCAGGTGAGTCTATTCACTGCCTCACGTGGGGAGTGCAGTGGTGTGGCTGTTAGCGCGCTGCGTTACGAACCTGGCCACCCGAGTTCAATTCGCACTCACAGCCAACACCGGTGACGATTTTCTGAACCGGTTCTGGGCCTCCCCTCGGTCGACTCAGCCTCAAATGAGTACCTGGTGCGGTGTGTAAACATCGCCACTGGGGAAACAAAGGCGGCCGGGCGCGGTGCTGGCCACCCACCCCCTCGCGTGCCGTGCCGGCCTTCATAGGTGCTCGCTAACAGCACTTGCCCCTACAGTCTGTTAAGGCTCTACGGGGGATCTCTGCCTCTGTGTGCGCGCATGGCAGGAGGTCGCCGTGAAGCGCTACCTGGCGACCACGAAGCCCCTGCCGCCGGCGTCCTACTACAACACGAGCGGGCGCGCCTACCCAGATGTGGCGGCACTCTCCAGCAACTACTGGGTGGTCGCCAACCTGGTGCCCATCCCCTGGGTGTCCGGCACGTCGGTGAGATGCTGCGGGGACATGAGCAGGGGGCGGCGGGGGGCTGGGAACGTGGGGGTTCTGTGACTGTGGGACCACACTCACCGCTGGACGATGATGATGCACAATTTATTTTTCTTTCTCATTTTATTTTGGTTGTAAATGAGACTGTCTTAGTCTCTTCAGTTCTCACCTGGTTAAAACAAAATAAACGAAACTTTCCGACACTTACTCTTTGGTTCTTTCGGTAAAGTGACGTAGAAAGAAAATTAATTAAACAATATAAGACGACGTTTCGATTGCAACAGAAGCAGTCGTCATCAGGTAGAACTGCATTTGAGAGAGAGACAAAACACAGACACGGAGACACACAGACAGACACACGCAGAGAGAGACAACACAGAGACACCATAGAGAGAGACACACAACATAGACACACAGAGACCCAATGCCTCTGTGTCGTGGCCTTAAATAGAGGCAGAGGGGGTGGGGCAGAGAGAGAGGTGGGTCTGCTGGAGCAGAGGAATTAGCATGTCAATGAGAGAGCTGTGTGGAAATCGACCCTGCGGCAGCAGAGGGAGAGAAAGATCCAGCAAGTCTGGTATTGAGAGAACAAACTTAGCACATTTTTGGGAATGTAATGCAATGCAACGCAGAGAGTCGGCTAACACACAGTTAACGCGTAGCCTGGTTGATTACGTTCTCCAAAGATTGCTAAATTAGAGCTGTGTGGAAAAATGTGGTCGGTGCGGGTTGAAGATGGTGATTATAGATCTCGGAGCATAGTAAGTCCAGCAGTGGATTTTGCTATCCTGTTATAGTGCCCTTCTGCCCACCACTATCCCTGAAAGTCTGTTGCCGATAACAATGTGACGAGCACAGTGTGTGGTCACCTGTCCGAGCACTATCCAGGCACAACCCTGCATAGCTGCTCAAATCTGACAAGACAGGGTGTGTTCCAGATGATTTGGTCAAAGGCACTCTCCCCTCTCTGGGCTCTAGCATTCTACCCCGAATCCCCTGCTGTAAGAAACCCCCTCCACTGACTCTATGGATGAGCACGCTTCCTCTCCCCAACTGTTCAGCGTTTTTTTCCCACTGTCTGCGCCCGCAGGCCTCGACGCCCGTGTTTGGCGGGATCGTGGCGCTGGTAAACGACCACCGCCTCCAGCAGGGCCTCCCAGCGCTCGGCTTCCTCAACCCCCTCCTGTATAAACTGGGCAACGGCCGGGGGCCGAACACCGCCATTTACGATGTGAGTGCCACCCATCGCTTCCCCCCCCCTGCCCCGCCCCCCTCCCGTCAGGGCCGGCCACGCGTCCACTCAGCCGGTCTCTCTTTGTGTTTTTTCCCGTTGTACCGCGCGTCGTTCGCTATGACGTCCGACGAGTCGCTTTGGTTTCCAAAGCGGAGCCGAGAACGTGGGGCCAAAGGTCGGACATCAGCCGAATGACATACTGGGAAAAGGCAAGGGCCTCCCCGTATAGCCTTAACAGACTGTTGGGGCAAGTGCTGTTAGCGAGCACCTATGAAGGCCGGCACTGCACACGAGGGGGTGATTGGCCAACACCACGCCCGGCCGCGTTTGTCGCCCCAGCGGTGATGTTTACGCACCGCACCACCGCACCAGGTACTCATTTGAGGCTGAGTGTCGACCTAAGGGAAGGGCCATGACAGGCTCAGATAATCGTCACTGGTGTTGGCCGTGAGCGGGAATCGAACTCGGTTGCTGGGTCTGTAGCGCAGCGTAGCGCTAAGCTGGTCACAACCCAAACAACACACATCGGCAGGGAGCCACACGGCAGCGAACCGCATTGCAGCGCGACCCCGAACGCCTCTGCATCCGTTCGTTTGAGCCACGCCGCCGATATGTGAGCGCAATGCTTGTGGCGCCCTCTTGCCTCTGCAGGTAATGTCTGGGTGCCACCTGGGCTGCCTGGACGAGCAGAGCCAGCTGGTGGGCTTCTGTGCCACGCCAGGGTGGGACCCGGTCACGGGCTGGGGGACCCCCAACTACCCGGCGCTGCTCAAAGCGCTGCTAAGAAGGCAGTGACGCACGCGGACGTGCGGGGGCGAACGCCTACACAGCTCGCACTCACCATCGCGCTAGTCTTACTACAGTCCCACATGCTCACATACTCACACGCTCTCACGTTTACCACAATCTCACCGAGGTACTCCCACACTGTTATACACTCACACAATCCCAATGTCACGGTCTTACAAAACCACACACACACACACAGACTCGCACTGCACACACGCACAAAATACTTTCAAACACTGCCTTGCAAAACTGCCTCCTAGCCACTGTGTCATGTTATTAATCAGTCTTTGGAACTGCAGAAATTTTTCTTGATGCCGCTCCTCGCCCCTGTATTCCCGTGCATGCCACCGTGTGTGTGTGATTTCTCCATGAAGCCGGTCAGGGCTCCCTGAAACGCTGCACATTGAGTCCCGGGTCACCACATCCATGTTGAAAAGCCACAGCAAACCTGCCGACCTTACCCATTTCAGCGTGAGGCTACCGATCTTTAAACCAATTTACTGCGGACTGGTTATCGACGCAAATCGTACTGCTTTGTAAAAAAAAATTCTTAAATTACATTTATCTTTGAAATCAAGATTCGGCAAAAGGGTTTCACGATTGTCGCGTTGTGGTAGGGCACGGTGCGTGCCAGCTGCTGTATGAGATCGGCGGCACTGCCACAGGTCACGCCTACACCAAGCCCTAACAATCGCCCAGTTAAATTTTGATTTAAAGCTTTCGTGACTGCAGTAATTCATATTTTTAGCTTTTTCGGTAAAGTCACGTTGAAGGGAAACAATAAAATATATTAACAATCGCCCAGTTAGCCGAGGTCAAGCGGTCGGAAACCAAAACAATAAGAGAGATTTTTCGAATTCGGAAAAAAACCACCCCCAATTTATCAAGAGCACGTGATTATGAGACGATCCTGAATAAAGAACGTCAGGAAACAGTCCTTAAAAAGAACCGCATGCGGCTCCAGAGCCACAGGTTGCAGACTCGTGCCCTCGTTCGATGAACACTGCAGTTTAAACTGGGGGCGTCTGGGCTCGTTAATTATTGCCATCCAAACACATTTCCAATTCTCAGACTGTCCAAGGCTTGACCTGGACATGCTGGGAATTTGCATGCCTTCCTAAACCCTGGTGGGGATGAACGATCTCAGCTGGTGAAGGACTGAAGGGAAAGTGGCTAGGGCCGGGCTACTGTGGACCTGGCGTGGGGCTCATTCGATGAGGAACTGCTTCTTGTCCGCTGGCTTTTGCTGACACGTTTCTTCTCCTGCCTCGGGTAATGTTGGTTTGCGCTGATGTAGATGTTTATATTTGACGGGATTTAACGGAGGTGTGACCTCTGGGGTGGTGGTGCGATTCGCGATTTACGCAATAAAAGTTAATTTGTTGGGTGAAAGATTTTACATTTTTAAACTTTTTGTTCACCTGGGAAAATCCTTCCAACTCTTTCAGGAGGTCCCTTCCAAGTTTGCACACGAGGGGGCGACAATTGCTGGTTTCCCCCTTTCTCGGGCTTCGTGAGTACATTAAGGAACTGTAATTGTGTTTTTTATAACGTCAAGCGACCAGCAACAAACAGCACCATCAGGGTTATAATGAGTTAACTCATAATACACATTTTGCATACATAGGCAAAGCCTACAGAGGCTGTTGGGGCAAATTTTAGAGAGCACCGATTAAATTATAAGCATGCTTTTTATTTTACCAGATAATGCCGAGTAAAAAAAGCTTTTTTTTAGAAGCGACCTTGCCACAAATGATAGCCCAACGAAGTCGCTCGTCACGTGGACATGTAGAGCAGGCAAATACTCTGAAGACACGTTGATCAAATATAAATGTGGAGAGAAAACCAGAGGATCCGGCGAAAAATCCACGTGACCACGGGGAGAGACATACAAACTCCAAATATACAGCAGGCGTCAGGATCGCATACCGTGTCGACCCAAACGGTTTATTCTTGTACAGGGAAATTGAGTTTTGAGGTTCATAGGGGCCGTCCATAAATGACGTCACGCACCTCGGGGGGGGGGTTGAGAAATGTAACGTCACATAAAAATGCGCAACTTTAAATCAATATAGACAACACGTTCTACTTAATTAAATAGACTTTTTTATATAAATGTTTTCTCCTACACATTAAATACGCACTACAATGACAATAGTTTAAAACGATTTGAATCGTGTTTTATTTTCAAAATGGAAATATGGTTTTGGGGGGGGGGGGGGGCAGAGCTTTGTGACGTCGTATTTGAGGGGGGGGGGGGTCAAAAATCATCCAAAATCGCGTGACGTCATTTATGGACGGCCCCATACGGCGTACAGCCGTTTCAATACGGGCAATTATTTATTTTGTCAATTTGTGATGGGACTTTGTAGGATGAACGTTGAGATGCGTAAGGGCACGGGGTGACCAATAAGGTCCGAATTGTCCTGTAATAAGGGAGGCACCGATAAGGGGTTGACAGGTATGGGATCGGGGATCGAACCCACGAACCTCCTGCGAGATAATAATCTCGCCACGTGACCGCCTGCGCGACAGTGCTGATGTTTGCGAATGGCACCAGGTACACGAACAACGACGACGACTCATAGCACAACCACGCCACGACCCGTCCAAGAGACGGCGACGTCGTCCCCTGCAGTGCGGTGGCTATCGCGCCGTGTGGCTCTCCGAGAGTAGGCACGAGAGTCATCGACGTGGCTGGAGGAAACGGCGAGCGAAGGTCACGGGAACCTTTGGCCACGCCAGTAGCGACGTAAGAGTTTCAATGAGGCTACTGTGATGTGGCTGTGGGGGGTTTGCTACCGCCGCAAATCAATGAATTGTCGCGATTCTTGATCAAGAGTCGCAAGAGCCGATTTTTTTTTTGGGGGGGGGGGGGTTAAAGGCGACTGAATATAGCGGCCCCCAGTGGCTGGAGGGGCTCACACGATGCCACGGGCACGTTGTACATCACTGGATGAGGGTCTTCTCCACACGCTGCGCGGATGTTGGCCATACTTCACCACGTTCGTCAGTGCGGGCTGAAGGCGGGATACATGAGTACTGTACAATACAATGGATTGTGCTGCACTGCGTGCTGCTGCTGCTGCCCAAATCGATGTAACGTTAGGCACTTAAGACTCTCAAGGTGTTTCATATCTGGGGCTTATTTCCAGCCGGAGCTGTCTGGGGCTGAGCTACGGAAAATATCCCATTGTACATTGAGCCCTGTGACTGAACCCTTACTCTCAGCAATAAGCAGGGGAAACTCTGAGAGGCAGGAGGGAGGCTCAGGGAGACAGGAGAGACACAGGGAGACAGGGGAGACACAGGGAGACAGGAGGGACACAGGGAAACAGAAGAGACACAGGAGCGAGACAGGGAGACAGGAGGGACACAGGGAGACAGGAGGGACACGGGGAGACAGGAGGAACACAGGGAGACAGGAGGGACACAGGAGCGAGACAGGACGGAGACAGGAGGGACACAGGAGCGAGACAGGAGAGACATAGGGAGACAGGAGAGACACAGTGAGACAGGAGAAACACGGAGACAGGAGGGAGACTCAGGGAGACGGAGACAGTAGAGACACAGGGAGACACGGAGACTCGGGGAGACAGGAGAGACACGGGGAGATAGGAGAGACACAGGGAAATAGGAGAGACACAGGGAGACAGGGGAGACAGGGGAGACACAGGGAGACACGGAGACAGGAGAGACACAGGGAGACAGGAGAGACACAGGGAGACACAGGGAGACAGGAGAGACACAGGGAGACACAGGGAGACAGGGGAGACTCAGGGAGACACAGGGAGACAGGGGAGACACAGGAAGATAAGAGAGACACAGGGAGACAGGGGAGACACAGGGAGACAGGAGAAAGAGAAGAGGGAGACTCAAGGAGACAGGGGAGACAGGAGAGACACAGGGAGACTCAGGGAGACAGGAGAGACTCAGGAAGACAGGGGAGACACAGTGAGACAGGAGGGAGACTCAGGGACACAAAGAGACTCAGGGAGACAGGAGAGACACAGGGAGACAGGGGAGACACAGGGGGACACAGGGAGACAGGAGAGACACAGGGAGACAGGGGAGACACAGGGAGACAGGGGAGACTCAGGGAGGCAGGAGAGACACAGGGAGACAGGGGAGACACAGGGAGACAGGGGAGACACAGGGAGACAGGGGAGACACAGGGAGACAGGAGAGACTCAGGGAGACAGGAGAGACTCAGGGAGACAGGAGGGAGACTCAGGGACACAATAGAGACTCAGGGAGACACAGGGAGACACAGACGGGGGAGACACAGGGAGACAGGAGAGACACAGGGGGACAGGAGGGAGACTCAGTAACACAATAGAGATTCATGGAGACAGGAGAGACACAGGGAGACAGGAGAGACACAGGGAGACAGGAGAAACTCAGGGAGACAGCAAAGACACAGGGAGACAGGAGGGAGACTCAGGGACACAATAGAGACTCATGGAGACAGGAGAGACACAGGGAGACTCAGGGAGACAGGAGAGACACTGGAAGACCGGAGAGACACAGGGAGACACAGGGAGACAGGAGAGACACACGGAGACAGGACGGAGACTCGGGGACACAATAGAGATTCATGGAGACAGGAGAGACACAGGGAGACAGGAGAAACTCAGGGAGACAGGAGAGACACAGGGAGACAGGAGGGAGACTCAGGGACACAATAGAGACTCATGGAGACAGGAGAGACACAGGGAGACTCAGGGAGACAGGAGAGACACTGGGAGACAGGAGAGACACAGGGAGACACCGGGAGACAGGAGAGACACAGGGAGACAGGACGGAGACTCGGGGACACAATAGAGATTAATGGAGACAGGAGAGACACAGGGAGACAGGAGAAACTCAGGGAGACAGGAGAGACACAGGGAGACAGGAGGGAGACTCAGGGACACAATAGAGACTCATGGAGACAGGAGAGACACAGGGAGACTCAGGGAGACAGGAGAGACACTGGGAGACAGGAGAGACACAGGGAGACACGAAAGACACAGGGAGACAGGAGAAACACAGGGAGACAGGAGGGAGACTCAGGGAGACGGGAGAGACACAGGGAGATAGGAGAGACACAGGGAGACAGGAGAGACACAGGGAGACAGGGGAGACTCAGGGAGACACAGGGAGACAGGGGAGACACAGTAAGATAGGAGAGACACAGGGAGACAGGAGAGACACAGGGAGACAGGAGAAAGACAAGAGGGAGACTCAAGGAGACAGGGGAGACAGGAGAGACACAGGGAGACTCAGGGAAACAGGAGAGACTCAGGAAGACAGGGGAGATACAGTGAGACAGGAGGGAGACTCAGGGACACAATAGAGACTCAGGGAGACAGGAGAGATACAGGGGGACACAGGGAGACACAGGGAGACAGGGGAGACAGGGAGACTCAGGGAGACAAAAGAGACTCAGGGAGACAAGAGAGACTCAGGGAGACAGGGGAGACACAGGGAGACAGGAGAGACTCAGGGAGACAGGAGGGAGACTCAGGGACACAATAGAGACTCAGGGAGACAGGAGAGACACAGGGAGACACAGGGAGACGGGGGAGACACAGGGAGACGGGGGAGACACAGGGGGGCAGGAGAGACACAGGGAGACAGGAGGGAGACTCAGGGACACAATAGAGACTCGGGGAGACAGGAGAGACACAGGGAGACAGGAGAGACACAGGGAGACAGGAGGGAGACTCAGGGACACAATGGAGACTCATGGAGACAGGAGAGACACAGGGAGACTCAGGGAGACAGGAGAGACACTGGGAGACAGGAGAGACACAGGGAGACAGGAGAGACACAGGGAGACAGGACGGAGACTCAGGGACACAATAGAGATTCATAGAGACAGGAGAGACACAGGGAGACAGGAGAGACACAGGGAGACAGGAGAGACTCAGGGAGACAGTAGAGACACAGGGAGACAGGAGGGAGACTCAGGGACACGATAGAGACTCATGGAGACAGGAGAGACACAGGGAGACTCAGGGAGACAGGAGAGACACTGGGAGACAGGAGAGACACAGGGAGACAGGAGAGACACAGGGAGACAGGAGAGAGACAGGAGAGACACAGGGAGACAGGAGAGACTCAGGGAGACAGGAGAGACACAGGGAGACAGGAGAGACTCAGGGAGACAGGAGAGACTCAGGGAGACAGGAGAGACACAGGGAGACAGGAGAGACACAGGGAGACAGGGGAGACACAGGGGGACACAGGGAGACAGAAGAGACTTAGGGAGACAGGAGAGAGACAGGAGAGACACAGGGAGACAGGAGAGACTCTGGGAGACAGAAGAGACACAGGGAGACAGGAGAGACACGAGGTGGAAAGAGACACGAGGAGGAAAAACAGGGCGACCCTCCTGCCCGTGGAAC